TCTAGTATTAATTATAGTAAGGTTACTCTTGATCGAACGTATTCGATCGACCTCGTTTCTAACCCGTATAGGGTTCGTCGGTTTTACCTAGAGAGCCGCATTCCTTAAGGATGCGGTAGTATTCGTTAGCTTTCTCCTCTAATTCGTGTAGATAGTTAAAACTTAATAATACTATTCCTAATCTTTCGCGGATTAACGGGAGTAGTACTTCGCGAAACTAGAATATACGAATATTTTCCTATAGTGTAGGGATATTATCCTAGAGGTTTTATAGGTATTATAGTAGTTAAGTAGGTGTCTAGTTCGGTCGTTGTGCCACGCTTCTTAACTTAGATAGTGCCTTTCTTTCGCGTTCTCTATTAGTTCCGAGGGTATTTAGTATAAATATAGCTAAATGTTCCTAGGTTATCGCCGATAGTAGCTTAACTTCCTTCTATCTATCCTATTAATCGCGGGATTATAAACCTAAGTAACGTTCTCCGAATGAAATGCGTTATACTTCGGTAGAAAAGAGCATAGGGTTATCGAGGAAGTACTTCTCGCAGTCTCTCTTCTAATCTTTCTACTTCTTTTGGTTCTTCTCTATAAATATAGTCGGATCTTTAGGTTTTAGTATACCTAAGGAAGGAGTAGGGTAAATCGGTAACGAAGCGGCCGGGTATACGGTAGATTATCATAACTCTAATGGTAGGTGAACTGATTCCGCCTAAATTAGTATAGGAAGTCGTCCACCTACTATCGTTCCGCGTAGTCTTTTAAGAGACTCGTTAAGTTCTCGTCGTTTTACGAGGAGTTTCGCACGTTCGGTCTATTCTTTAAGGATCTATATCTCTCGGGCTTAATTAGCGATATACTCCTATAGTTCGGCGATTAATGGTTGCGATTCCTCGTGTAGCTCTACCACGACTCGTTATCTAGCTTCCTATCATGGGAAGTCGCTTAGTATATCCACTATTTCCTTATTAGAAAGTTCCGTGATTCGGTCGGACATCTCCACTTCTCTATTAAGAACGGCTGGATTTAATACCGATTATAGAGGATCCCTATTATTTAATATAGTATTACTTATCCCTATAGTAGATCGTGTCGACCTTCTTAGTTCTAGTTAGACCATCTTAACTATAGTACTATATAGGTAGTAATTTAAATATAAGAATAGGATTATTAGATAGTAGTGTAGCTAGATAGAATAATAGGGTATATTCTATTATAGAACGAATTACTACCGAACCCTTTCGGTAGGAATCCGAGAGTATATATATAAAGGGACGCCGATCTATCTAGCACGTGACTATTCACCGCCCTTCACGTCACCTTCTAACCCTGTTAGCTAAGGTACGTGTAGGTCGAGTCCTACCTAAGGCTAAGTCCTAACAATAAGCCTCTAAAACTAGACCTTATAGCGTAACGTCGTTAGTAAATATACGTAGAACGCCTGCGCCTACTAGTATATATAGTAAATTACTCTCTCCTCCAAATAATCTCGAGACACTACTATTACACGCCTCTATATACTATATATAAGCTAGGGCACCTAGTTTAGGAGGGAGACGGAATAGCCCTATTAGCGCCGTGAATACTATACGAGTAGACGTAGTAGCGAATACTACGTAGTATTACCACGCTCTAGTCGCTCGTCTTAAGTGTGGAGTTAACAACTATCCTTATAAGGATAGGTACTATTAGGTATAGGCTAATAAAGGCTCTAGTATAGGTACTTAGCACTATAAAGTTATAATAGTAGATATCTACTACTAGGTAAACGTACTTACCGTAGAAGTAGAGGAGGGTGTCTCTATTAAGAATCTACCGTCTTTTCTAAAGGAGCGATTCCGTAACCGTGAGCCTATCGGTATATAGTCGAAGCGTCCTAATAAGCGTTAGCTTAATAAAGAGAAATAGGCGAAGTTATAAGAGGATATATAGCTATTTACTACTAAGTAGTAATTACGGGATATAAAACGTAAAGAATAATAGACTAAACGTAATAAGGCTTAAGCTAGACGTGAAGAGAGACGGGATCGAATATATAATAAGGAGTAGATAGACGAACGTAAGGTAAAACGTTATTACCGCGATGGTATATTTAAATAAGAGGCTATCCTATATGGGCATATCTAGCCTTATATACCCCATCCTATTTAGGTATACCCTCCGCCTTAATATCCTCTACCTCTATCTAGTATATTACTAGTTCCTCGAGAAGTAACGCCGCCTAAGCTAGTTCTAGTAGCTACGGCTTCTAGTCCTACGGCGCTATATATAGACTAGGTAGAGGTTATTAAGTAGATAATAGACTGGTAGATAGGTATAGAGAGAGTAGATAAGAAGATTAAGGCGCTAGAGAACTTTAAGGCATAGTTATTAAAGAACTTATATAAGTATAGTAAAGTTAAGGCAATAAGAACGTGTAGGCATCTATTATATAAGGATGCGCTCGTAAATAGCATTTCTATACCATATATATAGAAGTATCGCGCGTGGCTATCTAAATATAAGAGAGAGTTAAAGAAGAGAGATAGATAGGTAGATAGGGATACTACTAATACCCTTCTACGACTATAGAGTAGAGTTATATAGACTATATTTTAGGATATATATATATATATTTATACTACTTTTATATTACTTAATTAGGAAATACGTTAGAATACGTTAGTAGTAATATTAGGGTCCTCTATGACTTTAGCTCCTTTAAATCTCTCTACTAATTTAACTATATCTTCGCCATCTCTACCACGTTTAAAGCTATCTAACTACTCTATTAGGCGTATACGAATCTCCTTATTAATATAGAAACCCTTAGCCGCGTACTTAAAGAACTTTAGTACGAATCTATTATAGTAGCTATCACGGAGTACCCTTTCCATGAAATTACCGAAGTTACGATGCTTATCGCGCTTATATACCTACTATCTACGTATCTACGCCTTAAGTACCGTCTATATAAGCTCGATTAGGTTATAGTCTAGCGAATACGGAGGTAGATAGCGTACGACGTGGCTAGCCCTAGTTAAAATAGCCGTAACTTTAGGGACATAATGAAGATTTAGGTTATCTATTACGATAACTATTATCTTATTTAGGTGGCGAGCCTTAATCCCCGGTAATAGACACTTATTTAACCACGAGATAATGTTAGGCACGTGAGGAGCACGTGGCCTGCCAGTTGATTATACATGTATGCAGTAGTCGTATATAAGTAGTGTACTCTACCCTTAAAGTAGTAGCTTTAAGATTTGGTCCTTTTAGTGTAGTTAGTTGGTGCGTAGAGCCCGCCTCCTTATAGATAAAGTCTTCCTACTTATAATATCCCTTCTTAAAATAATAGTAAACGAATCCGTCTAGGCTAATCACGCCATAGATACTCCACGTCTTACCACGTTATATATTTTTATACTAAGTCGCTCGATTACCACGAGGTAAGTATCTCTATAGCCTCTAACCTATTTTCTTATTAAATATAGCCTTATTAATAAAGATAAGCTAATTAGAGGTAAAGTTCTTTATATCTTAGCGATAAGAGTCGCGTATAACCGAACTCTAGTTTATATAGATTCTCTTAATATTCGTCCGTGTATAGCCTCGCTTCTTAAGGTTATGCCTAATTAACTAGCGAGTTATCTATATATCTCTTTCCTCTTCTAAGAATCGCTAAATCTTATCTAAGTATAGGTATCCGAATCGGTATAGTAAGACGAGTACTATCGTCTAGTTATTAGTCGACGCCTTCGGATTTCAACTAGGAGAATTTAATGGCGCTATAGCCTATCTCTATATATTTAGATTCCTCTATATATAGTATATAGTTACCTTATTATAGTGGTAAATATCTACTATCTAAGTAGGAGGTATACTAAGCTAGAGATAGGTAATAATATCAACGCGTACCTAGTTCGATAGCCGAGGAGCCACTATAATACTAATATTAGGTATACACGCGTTAAAAGTAGGGTTATTGACGTACTAATAACTATATATAGTGCCTATAAACACTATAAAGTGCCTATATACATGGATTCGACGTATTTCACGACGTTATAGCTGCTATGCACGATAATATTTAAAATGCTCATTTACTATGGAAAAACGTTATATCGCGCATAGGCGTGCATGCCAAGAGTTGCGCTGAAAAAGTTACGGACGGATTAGCGTTATCGATAGATGAACAAAGTCGATCAAGATTTTCCCATCTAGTTAGTTAAATATCACTTTGCACTTTTACGCGAGATCGAAACTACTACTTGCGCGCAAATATCCAGCAGAGGATGATTTACTGATTCGGTACCACGCATGAACCAAGTCTGATTCCACTTGTTCCTCGGGTGCTTGTAGAAGTCGGTGACACGTTACAGCTTACAAACTTCCCAAACCTGAGAAGATGTGACCGTGTCGCCAGCCCATTATAATGCTACTCTTATTCGCTGTGCTCGACAACTGCTTCTCAGTCGGAGTGTTAGTACATAAATATACACGAACACTGGTTCAACATCATGACAGAAGAGAGCACCGGTCAGTGGTCAAAACCATACGATGATCCCAAAGAAGGAATCTTCTGTCAACAAGAGGTGTTACTTAGGTCAATTAGTCGCAAGAACACATTAGCAAAGCAGAACGTTTAGGCTGAGAGCTGCAGGACGAAGAGGGCGAGTGCCGATCACTTAAGTATATGGACAATCCTGAATGCGGACATCTGGCATACGCTAAGCATCATTTTAAGCGCGGCATACACCAACCTGCCCTGAATTGGCTTGTGTTATGATTTTGCGTACGCTGTGGATCGTAGCATCCCCAGTCAGTTGGGAGCTTAATTTGTTGTGAAAACTCTGTGTATCACGGAAGCTCGGAAATGCTGACCACTTTACCATATTGTGCATCAGGAATCACGCACTACTCAGAATCGCTCGGAGGACAGTCCTGTTCTAGAGATCTATGGATCACCGACGGAAGAATCAGGATATCTCTAACGAGTTAGCGATGATGGACAAACGTAGTATTGATTCTATCCTTGAAGATTTTTGCACATCCCTCGAGCCTTAGCTCTTGGAGGGAGCATAATAAATACCACGCTACTCACAGTCATTCCCAAGGTTAGAACATCAAGCCTGTCTCATATTCCGACATGTTCTCTACTGTTGAGTCCATAGAGCTTACTGACGGCCTAGTCCGATTTGATCCGCTTCGCCCATGGCTACCTGGCCCCCCTCCTATAAGACGCCAGATACCAGTCCAAGAAGTCGACGACGGATACAAAAAAGAAAGCAGAGCACCACTTCATGTTCCCATTAACACAATGAGATTGAGCTCAGCGCTTGAGCTAAACCGCTACTCCGGTATGGGAAATCCCCTTCAGCCAGCGTATGTCTTCCATGGATGCGGCAACAAAGTAAGTTCAGCGATACTTGAATCTTTCAGCAAGTGGGGTCCATCCATCCGATTCTCGCGACCCAGGGGCTACTTTTCATGCTCACCAGCCGTGTATTGGACGAACTCCCTTGCTTTTGCTATTGGCTGGTGTGCATTCACCGAGACGGGTCAGTGGCTACCGAAGTTGAACGAACGGGAGCAGGATTTCGAGTGCGTGGTCTATGTGTCGAAGGTGATCATGGGTGATTTGGAGTCCCCTGCAGGAACCTGTCTACTCTCACCACCGAGTACTGAGATTGAGGAAACGGATTTGGTGAACGTGAGTTGACGTGCCCTCAGTCACCGGGAAAATGGCAGCTGACACTTGAGCACCAGTGGTGTAACCAAAATGTAGCCAAGTCTCCTAGGAAGGGAAGAATACCTCCTCCTGGTTGTGTTAATGCTGAGTGGAGTATTATCGGCTCCCGAATTCCTAAGGTTCGTCCCAGTTTATCATGGGGGAATTACAGAACACTGAATTCGGACAGCACACAGTCGATGGACTCGGCACAGCGATGTCAGATGAGGCAGAGCTTTTTAAAGGGGTCGACGTAAGCCAGATCTGGATCTATGCTGCGTGTGACGAGTCTTCAAGTGTTTCGATGGCAAATCTTGGTGTTGAGGTCAGCCAAACCTAATCCTCAAACAACGTCCATTGCCTGATACTGATTGAGAGAAGATAATTCACGTGACAAACAAAGTAAACGGATGTCAATGATACGCAGGACTGGTCAATAAAGCATGTTTCGCAGCGTCGCATCGGATCAATCCTAAACATTCGGTATTCTCCAGAGTCTAAGGCAGTACGGGCTGAGTACCTTGAACCATGTTTATACAGATCGAAAAATCACTTGTATCGATCAATAACCTGAAAACCCTCTTACCTTGTATCTCATAATAATTTATTGTCCGAGGAATTATTGACGTTGACGAACCAGTATGCCAGGGTTGTATGCCAGGGGCTGACAGTCCCTCGACAGCACGAGCCTGGCCGATCTATCTGCATAGAGCAGCTTCTACATGAAGCAGCGTTCGCATCCGATGTGACATGTGCGTGGTATCAACCCGAGAAGGTTTCGCGTGTACTATTTAAGTCGTGCAAGCACCCGCAGAACACCTGTTCAACATTCAAATCTCCACGCTCCCATCATGAAGAAAGCTTTTATTACAGGTTGACACGAAACTCTGCTATTCGCGACTATGCTGACAGAGTGTAGGGATCACTGGACAAGATGGCTCCTACCTTGCAGAACTCCTGCTAGAACACGGCTACGAAGTACATGGCCTGATACGCAAGAGCACTGCATTGGAAGGGGCGAATTTGGAGAACATTCGGTCAGCTCATCCCATCGCACGTGTTCCTGTGATCCTATACTGATGGGACACGCCAGTCATATACTGGGAAAGTTACATCTACATGGTGGCGACATCATGGACTGCCCTTGTCTTATCCGAATTCTTAATGTCATCTGTCCCGACGAGATCTATCATCTTGCCGCCCAATCCCACGTGACGCTCTCGTTTGTAATGCTGGATTACACATTTCAAGTCAATCAGCAGGGTACAATGAACCTGTTACAGTCCATCGTGATATGTGGACTGGAGAAAAGAATTCGGTTGTACAACGTAAGCGCCCGAGTCAAGCAGCTACAGGGGTTTCTGATAGCAAGGGTTAACTTGTATGCAGGCGACCACATCAGAGCTTTTCGGGGGCACCAGCAACGAAACTTGTGTTCTGAACGAAGGCTCACCGTTCCGCCCCCAGTCACCATACGCGATCTCGAAGCTTAGTACATACTGGCTTGTGCAGAATTTCAAAAAAGCACACGGCGCGTATGCAGTGAATGGAATTCTTTTCAATCATGAGTCAGGCCGTCGGGGTAGGTACATCCTGTATAGACTATACGCAGCCTTGTTGACTTCCTTGTCAGGTAGCCGGTTCGTTACGAAACGGATAGCTAGGGAAGCGGCCCGTTACGCGCAAGGCAACGCGGAGTTCCCGCTCACACTGGCAGGGGTCCACATGTCTAGGGATTGGGGTCACGCGCGTGACTACGTCCGTGGGATTTGGCTCATGCTACAACAGGACACCCCAGAGGATTTGGTTCTTGCGACAGGAGAGGGAACTACTGTGAAACAATTCGTCGAAGCAGCATACGATCATGTTGGGGTTGCCTTACGGTATCGATATCCTTACATCCCATCTTGGTTGCGCTGACAATACTACACAGATGGGAAGGCTGTAATGATCGCATGGTAGCTGTAGATGAAAGCAATAGTAAGATACTGGTGAAGATCAATCCAGATCTTCGCCGAGCAGTCGAAGTTGAATGCTTGTTGGGAGACAGCAGCCGTGCGAGGCAGAAACTTGGCTGGAAACCAGAAATCTCGCTTGAGGCAAAGACACCCTAAAATGTCGAAAAAGCATTATTCATGGCTAATCTTGTCGACAGTCTATGGTGGCGGAGATGGTGGACGCCGAATTCCTTCGACTGACCAAGGATGCCGCTCGGGCTACGGCGCCGTGAGTTATGGCAAGCTTATAACCGTAATCTGGTCGATGTGGGCATAGATGACATACATGAAAAACCTTTTTTTTATTTTCATATTTGATGTTATGTAAATATTGGGACCTTGACGGATCCTAGAGCCTGGGAATCTCGCGCAATATGGTTCGACACATAGTCTTACGCAACTGTCGATGCACAAAAGTCTCCCCACAAGGAAATAGAGTGTAACGGACCCAGTCAAAGTTATCCATTCTCGGACTCATCAGCTCCTCTAGAAACATATTATGCGTGCGTTTCTCATCCCGGGCATTCGGCCAAGTCTCTAGAGCTGCTGCTTCATTTGACCGGCCAAGGCAACGTAATGCTCTTGTCATGAGGCACCTTGTCCATGAATGAACCATGTGATCCGGTGATAGCTTTGATTCGAACCCGGTGGCGGCTTCTGTGAAAAGTTCATAAGCTTCTTCTGTTGCCTCTTTGTCACCCTTGGAAGCCTGTATCAGACCGCGGATGACATAGTAGACGAGTGCGACGGGATGGTCTGACCCGAATACACGAATAAGTGCTGCTCTCATGGAGTCGATTACAAATTCGGCTTGAGATGTGCATCCGATATGGAGCTGTATTCGCGCAATGTTCAGGGAAACAATGAGTACCGCATAGTTGTCGGAACCGAATCCGCGGATGCGAGGCTGCCCCGACTCTGTGCCGGAACTGTCTCCGTCACCTTCAGTGAGACCGGACTTGACGTCCTGCAGGAGTTTCAAGGACTCAAGTGGGCTAGTCGCCCAAGTAAGGCAGGCTAAGCTATTCTGGACCATCAGGCATAAAGGATGATTCTCTGGAAGAACACGTTGGCATTGTTCAATGCACTCCATGAAGAGCACTGCAGCTTCCTTTGTGGAACCCGTTGCAGCGAGGGCCGTTGCGTAGCAGTAGTTTGCCTGGAAGGTGCCAACATTGATACAATCCACAAAATGTGTCGTACGAGCCTGAAAAGCTTCCTCGGCATGGACTAGGGCCTCTGCTGTGAGACCGAGATTGCCTTCGACTAAGCTCAAAGATGTAATCGTACCAGGGATGAGAGGATGCGACTCCGAAGCTTCGCGCATTGTTCCCAAGGCAGCTACTAGGAGCTCTTTCGCCTCCAGGAAGCGTCCTTTTACTCGTAGAACCTCTGCTTTGTCCCGCTGAGCGACTGCAGTGTCGAACACATCATGGCCAGTACATACGAGAAACTGCCCAAGAACTTCCGTTGCAAGATCGTCTGCTTCATCCAGACGTCCCAATGTCAATAGAACAGAGGAAAGGTTGCTTTGATTACGGAGTGTGAAAGTGTCTTGTGGGCCAAACATTTCCTTGAAGCCCGTTAAGGCTCTTCGATAGAAGCTCTCCGCTCTTTCGTAGTCTCCAGAGTAATCATACGCAACACCCAGGTTGTTAAAAGTTCTGAGTAGACTAGAGCCGTCCTGCTCTTCTCCTGTTTCGATGTTGATGATTTCCAAGGACAACTGTATGGCAACCTCAAACTTTGTCTGATTCAAAAGACAGAGTGCCAAGTTGTGTGTTATGGCAAGTGTTACGGGATGATCATCATGATAACCTTTTGCCGTTGCTAACTGCAGAAGATTGCGACAAAGACCCTCGGCCTCCTGAGGTCGACAGCATCTTTCTATTGTTGTTAGAAGATCATTTTTTGCTTGGATGATCTCATCTGACTCAGCTTCATGTGACCTCTCACAGAGCTGTAGCGCTTCTCTAAATGCGATTTCGGCCTCGTAAAGATTTCCAGCGTAACGATATGCATATCCGATATGTCTTGTGACATTCAAAAGGAGCTGGGGATCCTGCCATTGATTATGAAGGTAAGAATCTCGAGACAGCTTTAGGTAGTGTAGTGCATCCTTCTGTCTCAGCCTCCTTATCAAGCATTGTCCAACGATGGCTTCCAGTTCAGTAGCATACGCCACAGAGTCATCAGATTTGTCGTCCTTTTTCGAATCGTACTTACTCAGAAGTATCTCAGCCTGCGCTAGATACACATTAACCTTTTGGCGCTCCTCGAAAGTAGCATCATGCTCGGGAAACGTCCAGCAAAGAAGAGCAATGCACGCAGAGGTCCACTCTTCACACTGTGATGGCTCCAGACTCATCTGAGTCATGAGCTGCGAGAAGTCATGCATATGAAGCACGTATTGAGCACTGTTGTGTATCATCGACACATTGCGTAGACACTGAAGAGCGCCTTCTAAGCGCGACCAATTCAACACAAGAGCTGCGATTTGGTCGATTGGTTTGTGTTCTTTCAACGGCACTGATGGTGTTGCTTTGTGTATAGCTCGCGAGTGCAGGGAGGAATTTACGCGGCGTTCGATGCAGTCTTCAAGCGTCGGGATTGCAGATGGGCTAAAGAAAGACATGACCCGCAGCAAGCTCTGCGCATCATCTGAGAGTGTGTTGAATATTAGATCGTGCGATGCGGTGATCGATTCTCGTCCATCGTCTGGTCTTCCTGACAATACCTACGACGGATCAGACAGATATCATGGGTGTCTTATAGTGTATCCGACTTACTCGTTTCGGGTTATTAGACAATCGCTCCCACAACATATCCAAACTCCACCCGTTGTTCCTACGGTTCGCACCAGTCTGAGCTATGGCATGCGGTAAATATCGAAGGAACTTGACGATCTTCCCTATCGTAGCTTTGTCGCGTGAGAAGCGAGGTGCATCACTGGTCACAATGAACATCTCAACAGCGTCGTCGTGTGATGGCGGCTCCAGTTGAATGCAGCTATCACTGGAAGCCACCACCGACGCCACTATAGCTTTGTTCTGCGAGGTCAGTAAGATGTGCCCAGTGGATCCACCATCTGGCATCAATCGGCGAACCGACTCTTGGGTCTCGATCTTGATATTGTCAACTATCAAAAGCCAGCCATGTGCATTCGACGCCCAATCTCGGAATGCTAGCGCTTGCCGATCTGCATTCGCGTTGCCGTGGTCGGATAAGTTCAAGCCAATCAAAGCGGAATCGAGAGTATTTGAAAGGACATGGATGTTGCTGGCATCGAGAAAAATGCGGTATTCGTAATATTCGGAATATAAGTTGCTGTACGCAAGCACCTGTCGTGAGGCGTGAATAAAATGATACGATGTAATGAAGACAAACCCACAAACTCAGTCTTGCCCATGCCAGACGGCCCATAAATCCCTACACGACGTTTCATCCCATCACTGCGGCTCAAGGTTCGTTTCGCAAAATCCAAGTCTTTTTGACGACCAACAAACTTATCGTGGTCGAAGTCGCGCATCAATATAAGGGTCTTTGGTTGCTCATAGCGACCAAAGGATCTCTTGCGCTCGAGCTCAAGCCTCTGGTCTAACTTTTCGAGAGCATGCCTTACCTGCTGTAGAGTTTTATTCGTGTCTTTCTGTTCTTCTTTCATCTCTCTCTGTCCATTTAACAAGTGAGGGATAGCCATGTCGTTCAAGAGATTCTTGTAGTACTCGAGGGATTGTAGTGAGTCTATCAATGGTTTGCTGGCCTTCAGTATGCACACAGGCTGTCTGAGTGGGTCTGTCTTAGATCATCAGCTGGTCTCTGCTACAGCATCAGAGATATGAGGGGCGGCGCTGTGTGTCTTACTTGCGGATCGAAGACGAATCTTTTCTACTTGCAGAAATATTATGTAGAACTCGACGTATACTCTAACAAGTACGTTGTGTGTAACGACATTCGGGTCTTCATCGAACGCAATCTTGTAGGCCTCAAATATGGGGACGTGGTCTTGCAAGCACTCAAACTTCGTTGCAATACTGTCTGGTACGTCGGTCAGATCGTGCAGTACCTTAGTGATGTTCAGCGGGACTCATGTAATCATCCTACGGGGATGATTTACTTGCAAGAATATCCTTGAGACACCCCAAGCGGCAGATAATGGAGTGCAAGTTTGCGAAAGGGTATCGAGGGACCACTGGAAGTGAAACAAAGGGGCACACCAACGTCTGATAGAATACACCAGACTCGAGGCATTAATTCGCTGATCCCAGGCTTGACGAATCTCTGTTACCATCATCTGCACCGAGTCGCATTGATTATGGCGCAATTGCTCGAGGCAACACTGGATCCTTTTCTCAGAAAAGTTCTCTTCTCTGAGTCGCATTTGCAGCCTTTCATGGAATTTATCGAACTCCATGGGCGAGCTAGCCGGGGGGTCACTGCATCCTGAACGTTGTGGTTGCGGATACAATGATGTGACTGATTTACACTGGCTCGATGTAATTCCACTGAATAGCACTGCAGGCGTCAGTTGACTGATATTCGAGCGACAGGCTGCAAGACACACCTTTTACGCCAAGGTCTGATTCGGACACTAAGCATGCGCCTGGTGGGTCTGCTGGAGGTTGTTGTGGTTTAGGAGAACACTGAACGATGTCCATACACCGACTTTTCTGTAGTTCTGCTTTCGGTTTAGGTTTAAGACGTAGCGCTGAAAGAACCATTGCCAGAGATCGTTTCTGAAAGATCATGAATTTCACAGGATGGTTTTAATACAGACGTAATAAGCGAACAAACCCAGATATTGAAGTCAAATTACCTACAATGACTCGCAGTCCTGCTTCGCCGCGCGGTGGACTAAATTGCCCGTAGCAAACTGCGTTGACTTCTGTAGTACATATTCAAGTTGCCGCAGGCAAATGGAATGCACGGTTTGTGATACGTAATGAATTCGTCGTTAGCTGCGACTAAGTTCGGGGGATCTAGAAGTACTCTGTCCTGTTGTCGCACTACATGCTCTTCAGACATTCAACAGCCCTATATTCTACATTGAATGCTGAAGAGACCACAGCAGTATCGCACTGTAGGACGACCAAGTAGCATGGGACCAGGACCAAACGTTACCTACAAAGATCAACATATGCAATGACTAAAAGGTGTTGGTTGACTTAAACTTCATCACAATACCTTGTGTGCACGGGATATTGCAGATGAGACACACGGTTCGCGTATCTATAGAAATAACATCTGTGGGAAAGATAAATCTTCATGCTCATTGACTTCTGGCATAGGAGATAATCTCGATATGAAGCGTTTCGCGAATGTAATGATATGCTGCACCATATATCAAAGTGCTCTATGAGGCATACTTCAAGGCAGACTGCTCGACCTCACGGGAGCAGAAGTACAAAGAGCAAAGCCATCAATAGCGTACGAGATAACATGTAGAGCGACCGGTCACGAAGTACTCGGGAAATCTGCGGATGGAACCAAATAAGTCAAAAGTCGTACAATCGCCGCGATTGGGAGCCGACGCATCCGGCATATAATATGGAAGGAAGCACAAGCATAGCGGCTGCAGCATGGTTGCATGCGTCTTGTGCCTCAGCAAACAGTCTACAGGGACTGCTTGAGCATAGACTACACGACAAACATGATTACAACATGTTAGAAATGGTGGAAGATCGACGTTTCCGGTGCTTCCAACCGCGGAGCCTCTCCACAAGCAGAAAAAGACGCGTGCTTTACACGCGTTGTGTATCATTGCTCATTGTGAACGCACGCCAGCGCCTTAAATTTCGTCTGGAACTGGAAAAGTTCAACCGTGGTCTGAAGCACTTCATAGGGCTCTGCAATATTCAGAGAAGACGTAGAAGCCGTTTTAAACGCAAATGCGAAAGCGGGTGTACCCAAGTGTCATTTACAAATCTGCAATCCTAGCCCGTCATGACCTTGCTCTTTCATAATACCTTTTCTACCAAGTCAGAAGATGAGAATCGAAGGTTCGTGCGCGGCTGGACGCATCTGTTGTTCGTAATTGACGCTGGAGGTAGACGGATTCTCAAATTTTCGGGTCACGCTGAAATCACGTGATATATCACTTTCATTCAACCTATGACGTCACTCATCCCAGCCGGCTATACAAGTTGGAAAGCGTTTAGGCTACGTCAGGAGCAATAGTTCGAACGAAACGCTCTATTGGTCATCATGGTCCAATATAGATACGGTAAAGTGCCTAGCTGTCTATTCTTCAGACAATATCACCTCTAGCATATCATTCTCAAGCCTAACAGCATATTCACCATCAGACACACGACCATTATGCCTCTCGAAGTGTATCATCTGCACCTCAGTCAGAGCGAAAGGGTTGTCTGGCTTTTAGAGGTTCCTCTGCCCTCCTCTTGAACTTCAGAATCCTGTGAATTCTAAATGTCTCTAAGGAAATGCAAGTTCCCTACGACCTCAAAATCTTCCAGCGGGACCCTGAAAGCGGTGGCTCTCCTGAAGAACTCAAAAAGATTGTGCGTCTTCATCTATCATATCATCGCCGATTCAAGGTACATTTCCTAATAATCTCAGACATCAACCGGCACAGCCCCTTTCTTCCGCGACACCAATATGTCTCCACCTGTGGAGCTCTTCGAATCCATGGCCATCGTCGATTACATCCTGTCCGTGTATTCTGGCAAAGCGCCTGGGACACGAATGATCCGAACCCCGGGCGACCCGGACTATGTGCCCTATTTATCCTGGCTACACTACGCTAATGGCACGCTACAACCTGGCCTAGGTCGCAGCATGTCTCTAGGCTTCGCGGGTCAAAACGATTCGGCTATCGGCAAGCGCTTCGGCGATAAGTTCAAGAACGCTCTGAAGCTCGTCGACAATCGACTTTCAAAGACCAGGTATCTAGCTGGCGAGGAGCTTAGTGCGGCGGACGCGATGACGGTGTTCACTTTGACGACCATGCGTGGATTTTATCCTGTGAACCTGGCCCCTTTTAAGAATATTTTGAGGTATCTAAGCGATGTAGCGAAGAGGCCGGCGTATTTAGAGGCATTGAAGAAAGCGGATGGGGGTATGGAGCCAATGAATCAGGCCAAGACGAGGAAGTTCTTGGAGTTTGCAGCTTTCCGGCCGTTCTTGGATACAACAGAAGATGGTGTGGAGTAGAACACAGGACTTACTTACAACAGTCCAGTAACGTCGGCCATATTCACTGATATCTGATATCAGAGAGATTAGTAGACACATGTACTGAAAGAAAGACATGTATTCCTCTCGGCTTCATGATAAAAAGGCAAGATTCAAGAGCACACCGGCTTCTTTCACCAAGACTCGCCGTCATCTAATTTCTTCAGTGCGCCTACTAGGTCCTCACCAAACTGCTGCTTTAACCGTTCAAGATCCTGTGCAACTTCTTTGTTAACCTCCATAGCTTTCTCGTCATCCATTTGATCATTGATATTTAGCGCACTTCTCGTACTTTGCTCCAGTGCTGCTAAAGCTTCTGTCATGATGGTCAAAGTTTCATCATTGACATTCCGTTGTCGATGATTCAGCCGTCGATTCTTTAGCGCTTTCCTTAAATCGTCTAGAGGCGACGCTTTATCGCGATCATCTCGTGTCAACGGAGGCAGCTTCTTTGCGGGTACCGCGGACTCACGACGACCGGGCGTTGGCTTTAGATCAAAGTCAGGCTGATTCTGAAGTTTGGAAAGAATTGTTGGAACACGACCTATCCGCGGTGGCGAAGGGAATGCGGGCTCGGTCAGCGAGGTTTCGAGAGCAGGTGCAACTTTTGGACTACCTACTAGAGTAGGCTCGCGACTTGCGAGGCGGAGTGGAGGGATTATAGATACCCGGGGGTGGATCGTGCCAGTCGGAGCAGAAGCAGGTGGCAATGGGGGAGGTGTTGGTGGAGGTGGCACGTCTGGCAGAGTCGTATCATTTGATTCGGTCGAAACAGACGGTGCCAAAGCAGGCGAGGTCCCGTGTCCAGGCACTTTCTTGCGTCTTTGAGGTGGTCCTTGTAGTGGATCACTGAAGGGAGATTTATCTACTGCAGGTGCGACACTTGGTTGACGTGAAGGCGCACGTGCAGGAGCCAGACTGGGCTGCCGAGATGCAGGCACTGTAGTCGCACGTCGTAGAGGCATAGTGTCTGCAATGATGGTAGGCTGTTGAGTTTGAGGTGCGATAGTCGGTCGCCGCGAAGAAACTGGCTCATATGTCGATGGTTGACGTGTTGGTGGTGCGATACTGGGCTGTCGGGACTGTGGGTGAGCAGACATAAGACTCGCATGACGAGAGGGCTGGACAGATTGTGGCACACTCGGTGTGGGTGAAGCTTCCATTGGTGATCTTGGGGGAGAAGCAATCCGAGCAACACTCTCTCTCCTCGATGGTATTTCTGGAGGTAATGTCGCCGCCTTTCGAGGAGGAAGTGGATTACCGCATTGACAGAGAGCCACGGGCTCGATTTCAGACTCCAGATATGGCTCTCTTCGGGACTCAGGTTCTGACGGAGGTGATGAGATCACGGATAGAGCTTCCTGACAGGATGTGAGCTCAAATAGATTCAGCGTTGCGAAAGGAGCCATACCTCAACAGGACTCGGTATGGCCAAAGCGGATGGCTTGCGAGCCTCCGGCAAAGCACTAAGTTTCCTTGGTGGCTGTCCAGACGGAGGAGGGTATCTGTTCTGCATCTCACATCTCAGGCTGAAGCGCACATTCTTCTCTTGCGACTCCAGCAGGCCTGCAATGATGCTCCATAGTGTTGTTGTGGCAGTCAGATTATTCGGATTGTAAAGCTTCCGCGGGATATCAGTATCTAATGCCGAGAACAAGTTACATTTTGGAATGCTGATTGTATCTGCATCGTCTTGACAGTAGTGAGGAATGTCTACAGTGCAGAATGGCCGGCCATTGTCATCGACTAGCTTCGCCGGGTACTCGAGGATTGGTCCTCTCTTCGATGACATGCGTATCTGAGCCCTAGCATTTCCATAGACTGGAGTGCCAGGTCGTGGCGTGCTTTCATTGAGTCTTCCTACCAGGAGAAACGGCGTACCATCGAAGTCGCGAGTGGTTGCTTGGTAGCTGTCGAGCGAAGCCCATTCATCCTCAGTGGGATATGGAATGAAAGGATAGGTTGCCATGGGGAACGCAACAATAAGGTGACCAGGTGTGAGCCAAAGATAAGTTAGAAGTAATAGGAAGGAGTTTACAAGGAAAGGAACCGATACAGCATCAGCAGGTATGATAGAAATGAGAGGGTTTTGGCTCAGCTAGTCGTCGAAGGTAGATCAGAGAATCGAAATATACAAGCACAGGATGGGGTGAAATCTTCTATTATGGAAATCAGGACGGTCAATTCCGGAAGAAATGGCGAACACGTCATGCTCTTTCCTCAAAGAAATCATCAAGAAAGATCCTGACTCAGCAAGAAGTCTGAGAGAAGCTGAGTCTATGTCTGAACAACAATGGTTTCTTTACCTCCCTACAAGATCCAGGAAGGGCTCTTTCGAACTTGATCCTCGCCTAACCGTGCTCGTCCCCAAACGTCCGTTCTTTTCCGGAAGCCTCTCATTTCTGCTCCACGAGACAACATCTTGGCTTTGCAAGACCTTTCTACCTTGATATGATTTGACCAACTTACCTAAGATCTTTCCATTTGGACTTTTCATGTTTTACGCCTCAAGGGCTCCGGCCCTTCCTGCCTACTCTCATGATAGTGGCTACAAGAGGCATATTCTTCTCCTCACAGAAGTATTGGTGACACTGGCTCGTAAATTCCACTCTATTATTCAGGGGCTGCTTATGCATCTTGTACGCGTCGTTTATTTCCTTGAAGACTTGAAGTCGGTCTAAATGTCTTCTTCGGCCATCGAAGTGAAATACCGGCCTCTCAATATGTAAATCGTTGCATAAATCAGTCAGCTGACAGTCGCTGCCCCTCGTGTCTTCCTCGAGAATCATTTACAAGTTGGCTTGTAAAGAGGTCAGAGAACAAGTCTGGACATGCCATCAAAACACCTGTAAGCCTAACAATGAGCGTCTTCACAGGTTTCCAAAATGATGAAGTACGACGACCGCTCAGAAGTACTGGCATTCGCAGACCCAGGTACTAGCGCCTCAGAAGACTCCGTGACGTAGCTCAGCTCTTCACCTTCTTCCCCAGCTAGACAACACTCAACACCCCCGGCCGTATGCTTAATTTTATTGCTTACTCAGTCAGCGGGAACATCAACCTTCTAAAACTTAGATCTCAGCACCTCCATCCCTCCTGACATCCTCTTGATCCAATTCACCCTAGAATGGCACCATAAACGCATCCCGGGCTCCAGCCTTTCTAACCCCAATCTATATACACACCTGAGCACCATGCGCTTCACATGAAATATTGTGACTGAAATGACTCGGGCTGGGGGATTGGGATGTGGCGCTTCTGCGATCAGGTTCGTTTCCGGGAACTGGAGGACGTCCACAGCCTTCTGGCAAAATATAGTAGTAGCCAACTCTTGTCTTGCAACGCAACCCACATGGTGGTAAGATCAGATGGCCTGTTATCACCGCTGTAGATGATTGCAATTGTGAAAAGAAGTGTGGCTCTCTTCTCAAGTAGCGGGGATTTGCGCGCGCGTAATGGCATAAAAGAAGTCCCTGTCCCAATCCAGTTGCAATTTAACCACAAAAAAAGACCGCTTGAACGCTCTTCATGGATCGGGTCACAGTAAAGGCAATACATGTACAGTCAAACTCGCTATAACGATACGAATCCGATCACGTCAATGACATCGTTTTAGGGAGATTATCGTACAGTCGGTTCTTACGTAAGCTTACCTCCTAGGTATTGATTGGCTACCTCCATCAAGAGCCATCTCCCGGCCCGTCAATACCTATTCTATACCTATTTTACGACTTAATATATCGATAATGGGGCTAAAAGAAGGCGATCTATTAGATATCGGGATGTTAGCTAAATACGCCTGCCCAGTTAAGTAGCCAAAGAAAAGCTATGGTTATACCAAATTTATCGCTATATCAGCTATCGTGCGAGTCTCGACTGTACCTCATGGCGTGGCAATTTGAGTCGCGCGTTCGCAAAAACGCAAGCTCAGCCCCAGAACCAGCTCCGATATCACTTCCCGAGGGACTGTAACGAAACAATTGTAACGAAGTACTGCCGACCAGGGACGGAGCCCGTCAAGAGTGAGCGATGGCTATGCAACTACATTGGGCGGACGAGCGGCCATGTCGGTATGCCTAGTGTCTGTGGGGATCCGCTGTGAAGGCTTTTCGCCGTATAATTATCAAGCCGATGATTCGTGGAATAGCCCGACGCGGGTACGATATTAGTGATGTAGGGTAAGGATAAGTATGGACACATACGGAGGCGATTATGGCGAAGATTCGGCGAGGCCGCTAAAGGGGAGGGGAGTTCGTTCTGGGGTCATATGTGTAGAGCCTGGCGGAGCTTGAGCAAGAGTGCGCTGGCGATTGCTGCTATGCATGATGTAGCCTCGATACAGCCAATGAGACAGAGAAGGATAATTGTATGAAGTGTATATGCATATGCCAACGACCCAAACCTCCCAATCCATCTGTCGGTGGCCAATCATATCCGCGCATGCAGGCGTAGAGACGAGAGCTGGAGGTCGAACAAAGCTAGAGACGTTTGTTTCGAGGTTGTCAACCACATCTTTTTTTTCTACTCTCTTGTACAGCTGCGGCCCTTCAATTCAATATCTACGGCTTCATTTCTCTTTTACCATCTCCATATATATACAGCATTCTACCTGCCATACTTGTGTCAGTCATCCACCTTCCAAGCTGTGTCATCCTCTCCTGTACGCATACGCATCGTCAGCTAGGTCAGCTCCAGACCCTACTACCCCGCCGTAATATCCCTCCAGCCATCAGTACCTCGCACACAACCGAATCGTGAACTTCCGCCCTACCTACGACGCTCAAAACTTTGACTATTCTCACGAAATCCCATTACTCTTCTATTTACGTATCGTCGTCCTAGCCTCCTTCTCCCCTACATCCCTTCGCCTGCTGAACGCTTGACACACCTCTCTCGTTCCATATCCTCTGCGCCCCTCGATGTCTTATAATCAGTTTCCCGGAGGTCACTATTCGGGTGGACAGTCTCACCAAGGAGGTGGCGGATATCCTCCTGTCCAGAATTATGGCCAGCCGCCTCAAAACTATGGTCCTCCGGCGCAATATGGAGGTCCGCCGCCGCAGCTGTATAACAGTCCTCCACCACAACAATACGGACCGTAAGAGCACATCTTTTATTTGTTGGAGCGAGGCAGGAAAGGTGTGGTTTGTTTCTCAGGTGCAGGCTGACAAGTCTCAGACCGCAGAATTACCAAGGCTATCCGCCTCAAGGCCCACCCGGCGGGTACCAGAACGTTTGTTTTATGTTTCCTTGACAAGGCCTGTTACAGGACTGATATTGAAGATAGACTCCTCCTCCACAGCAGTACAACAACTACCCTCCGCCGAACAACCAGCCCCAAGGCCCACCCCCAGGTCAATATCCACAACCTGGTAAACAAATCTTCTTCATGAGCACCAAACGCACGTAACTGATTGGTAGTAGGACGAATGCCAACTGTGAATAGCAACCAATGGACACAAGGGAACCATAATGCGCCTCCACCGCCTCCGCAGCAAGAACAGGCATTTGGCCATGGTGCTCCCTCGAATTACCATTTCCGGTACTCTGCGTGCAATGGTCGTCGCAAAGCACTACTCATCGGCATCAACTACTTCAATCAGCGCGGTCAGCTGCGCGGATGCATCAATGATGTGAAGAACATGTCAAATTACCTGAACGGCTTCTTTCGCTATAAGCGGGAGGACATGGTTATCCTGACCGATGACCAGCAGAATCCGATGAGTCAACCCACCAAGCAGAATATCCTCCGTGCTATGCACTGGCTAGTCAAGGATGCCAGACCCGACGATTCGCTATTTTTCCACTACTCCGGCCACGGTGGCCAAACCAAAGATCTTGATGGCGACGAAGAAGATGGCTACGACGAAGTTATTTATCCAGTGGATTTCCGTACCGCGGGCCACATTGTCGATGATGAGATGCACAGAATAATGTACGTTGAATGCTTGACACATAGTGCGACCACTGATTACAACACAGGGTTCAGCCATTACAAGCAGGCGTTAGGCTTACAGCAATCTTCGACTCTTGCCACTCCGGGTCCGCATTAGATTTACCGTACATCTACTCCACACAAGGCGTCCTCAAAGAACCAAATCTTGCAAAAGAGGCTGGTGCAGGATTATTGGGCATTGTTGGAGCATATGCCAGGAAAGATATTGGGGGCATGTTTTCCACGGGTGCTGGCCTTCTGAAGAAACTTACTACCGGCGACGACGTCTTCCAAAAGAACATGCGCACCAAGACTTCGCCTGCGGATGTTATAATGTGGTCTGGGAGCAAAGACGATCAAACTTCGTGCGTAACCGAAACCCATTCGCCTTCAAGGAAGCTGACATATTCTAGCGCTGACGCCACAATCGCTAGCCAGGCTACTGGCGCTATGTCGTATGCATTCATTAGTGCTCTGAAGAAGAACCCGAACCAGAGTTATGTGCAATTGCTCAACAGCATTCGTGACGAGTTGGAGGGAAAATATAGTCAGAAGCCCCAGCTTAGTTGCAGTCACCCGCTGAGTGAGTTAAGAACAACTGCCCGTGAGTATCGTTGATGTGTTCTAACATCCTTCTCCAGACACTGATATCCTATACGTGATGTGATACCTTCGCGATTCTGAGCGACCAGTTCCAAATGCGGTGGGGCACTAGCTCACGAGCATCCTTTAGGTTTGGTCAAATCGACGGGTACATGGTAGAGATGCCCGCGATGGCTGGGCAACGGCTATGGACAGCCTTGGCGACGAGTAATGGCTTTGCGTGTATGGTTGAAAAGAGCGTGCAATTTTAGTATACACCAAGATGATGGCGACCAATTTACTCAAATCAAAGCGCAGCGTTTACGTCGATATAGTGGCTTCGTATTTCAATCTCCGAGGAGTCTTGGTAGAGATCTGAAGAGGAGCCAAATGTATGTCTTCATAGACTCATATGGACCTTTCTTCTCCACTACGGTGGAAGGCAGAAGCAGTCTTCACGATATGGTGATTACATTTCCTCACCAGGCGGCTGGCGATACCGAGGGTGTCTCGCACGTGTCATTGCGGGACCGGAAACAAGATTGTGCCGATGAACTAAACGTCGTCGTCGCATTGTCACAGCTTCCAACCACGCCGTCGATTATAAGCAGGATGATCCGGAACTTGTCGTCCGTATGCTTTCGACATAAAAGTGCAACGTTGCACAACATCAGAGCGCCCATACACCAGAAAGATTCACATGCACGCGAAGGTCGTATTGTGTGGCACAATTCAACTCTCGATCCCGTGTGCGGCGCATACAACACGCATTTCACAAATCACGAGGTCTGATGCCGACGTCCGCTTACTGTTTCTTCTGGCGTTATGACTTCACTTTGTCTCCGCCACATGAGGCTGACGGAGCTTCGATACCCAAAAACGTCTAGCTCCAGGTATTAGCCAGAGGCCGTCCATTTTTACCCGACTCTTGGCCGAGGACCGACTGCGGCTGGCGTCTCCCAATTACTACACAATCACCGAAGCGATTATAATCTAGGCTTATGCGTATTTGTTCATCAAACTGTTTTCGGGCTCTTATGCAAGCATTGTGATGCATCATCACGGACCGTGTAGATCCAGCTGCGCGGTCCCGTGTCTAGCAGACTAGCACCACGTATTTACTCACCCTGGGTACTAACTAATTCCATTTTGCGGCACGAAGCATTGCCTGGGCGATGAATGGAACGGTGAGCCATGACTTATATGCGGGGTATGGTGTCGGGTGCCATATTGTGCCGTTAGAAGGAAGTCAACAGCTTGACCACAGTCCTGGAGCTGGGAGTGAGTATATGAACTACACGGACCCCGGACGAGGAAAGCTCAAATGTACGGATTCCTTGCGGTGATCATCGAGCATTGTACCTTGTCTGACGCGCGTCCGCTTGTCATTTCTTATAGCTATCGCATTGTGCCTATATCGACCAGCGGAAGCTCCATAACCCTGACGTAGTCCGCCCCCGACATAGTTCGTATTGCTACCACCGCATACGAAGCTACCTCACAATGGTAACATCCATAACACTGCAAGCTCTGGCTTGTGCCTCTGTCCTGGCCTATGTCAGTGCGCAAAATAATGACCTGCCTGTCGTCGATTTAGGCTATCAGCTTCAACGTGCTTCATCTTACTTTGTATATACCTACGCAGACCCTTCACGAGGCAGGCCTGAACTAACTTCGCCACAGGAAGCTCAAGAAGAAAGCCAGACTTCGTACTACAACTTCTCTAACATTCGGTTTGCTGCACCTCCGACTGGTGAACTTAGGTGGAGAGCTCCTCAAGCACCCGCTGTTAACCGAGATGTCATCGATGATGGCAACTCAATTGAGCGTGTTTGTCCACAAGCAAACCCGGGATGGCAAGTCTTGATACCCAATTTCCTCGTCGATTATCTGAGTGGCCAAAATTTCACTCCTCCTGCAAACACAACTTTCTCCCCGCCCCCGAAAGATCCAAGAGAGACTGAAGACTGCCTGTTCTTGGATGTTTTTACCCCCAAAGAAGTTTTCGAGCAAGCTGGGAAGGGTTATGGCGCTCCAGTCTTAGTTTGGGTGTATGGAGGCGGCTATACGGCTGGAACTAAAGCGGCCTCTGGCTCGCCATCTGGTCTGCTTGACCGTAGCTTCACGGCGCCCACCACAGACGGTGTCATTTATGTTGCCATGAATTATCGTCTTGGTGTGTATGGTTGGGCTTCCGGACCAACGATCCAGACCGATGGTGTTGCAAATGCTGGTTTGCTTGACCAGCGATTTGCGCTTGAGTGGGTTCAGCAGAACATCGCCAAATTTGGAGGAGATCCAAACCGGGTCACTGTTTTTGGCGAGTCTGCTGGTGGCGGATCTATTATGCATCAAATCACAGCTTACGGTGGGATGAAGGGGCCTGTTCCTTTCCAGCAAGCAGTCCCGCAGTCTCCAGGCTGGTTCCCGGTGGTCTCTACATATGCCCAAGAAACTACGTTCCAAAACTTCCTTCGACATGCCGGTGTCAGTTCTTTGGAAGATGCCCGCCAGCTTGATGAAGAGACTCTGTACAAAGCCAATCAGCAACAGGTTGGCCTCGATTCTCCATATGGCCTGTTCACCTATGGCCCAGTAGTAGACGGTGAATTCGTTCCTGCTCTTCCAGGCCAACTCCTGTCATATGGCCAATTCGATCAAAGTCTCCGCGTAATGGTAGGATACAACGGGGACGAGGGTCTTCTTTTCACCAGCCCGTACCTGACCAATGATACCGCTGTGGACAACTACTTCGTCGAAAAATTCCCGAACACCCCATCCGACGTCATCAAGTACATCACGGAAGTGCTCTACCCTGCGACCTTTGACGGCTCGCAGCCATACACAGACTCTATCGGTCGTGCTGCCCTTGCCCTATCTGAGCTGGGATTCACTTGTAACGCAAACTACCTTGACCGCGCGTTTCTCAACCAGACCTACTCATACTATTTCACTGTTCCACCGGCGCTTCATGGGCAAGACATCTCGTACACCTACTACACTGGCAACACGACGCTTACACCATCACTAAACCCACTGGGCGTGCAGAATGCTACAGTTGCCATTTCGATGCAAGAATGGATCACGAGTTTTGCGCAACTGGGCCGCCCAGTTGGACCATATGGCACGCCGATGTTCAATACGTATGGACCGAACGCAGGCATTGTTGAGATCAACGGGACGAATATCTCGCCTGCGACAGACCCGGCTGCGAATGCACGATGTCGATGGTGGCAGCAGGCGTTGTATTATTAGACCTGCACACTGGAAGAAATCTGCGAGGTATTCGACGTATTTTTGTAATCTAATGCTAGTAGCAACTGTATTTTTGGAATGCACGTTTGCTGTATACAGAAGAACTCCACAAGATGCACAGCTTTGAAATTCTATTTGCGGTCTTAATCAGGTTATGCTCAGGATAGATACCCTGGTTATGAACATCCTGATCCTGAAAATGCCATGTGACCAATCATGCGATTGTGCGCTAAACGTGACTTGCATCCGAGGGCCAAAAATCCAATCTCGATGCTTACCCCACATTTATGAAGGAGCTTGGGCCAGATGCTGTTGCATGTATACGGCGACGTCATTTCGCGGTCACCCGGCGTTTGTGTAAACCGAGCACGGGCTCTGAGCTCCGGACAAAAGCTGACGATTGACAGCTTCTGCTCTGTTCTTCCTGTTACGTTACTCTCTCCAGAACTGAAACCAATCCAAATTGTAAGTGCATTCCTTGGTGGATCTGATGGATCCGTGAATGGTGAGACAGATGGGAATCAGAGAGCTCGTTAGGAGCGAGGAGCAAGACGATGACTTACTAGCCTGCAAGAAAGCATCATCGACATCTTTCCTCCGAGCCTCATTCTCCAGCCTCTTATTCCCATCTTGTCATTCGTTTCAATCTCTATCCTCATCCCTCAACCTATTCATAACACCCCAACGCACCATCCAATAACAACTCACCAGAGCTCACATATCAACTCCCTCAAACCAATTATCCACCAAACAACAGTTAAAATGCTGCGAACCACTATCGCCCGTCAGGCTCGCCTCTTCAGCACCACACCTCTCCGCGCCAAAGTCGTCCCCGACTCCGTCAGGGAGCCTGTGAAAAAGGCCGACCGTGCCGTTAGCGACACCATCGTCGCCGGTATCGAAAAGGGCGGTACGTAGCACGAACCCTCCGCAGTCTTTGCTCTACATGTTATCCCAGCTTTCAGTATCCTTCCTCCCATCTGTACACCTCCCAATCTTGAAATGTTACACCGCAATCATCAAAGCTGACATACATCTCCCGCACACAGAAGAAGCAGCCGCAAAGGCGAAATCAGCAGCTGGAATGAGCGAAGGCGAAGTCAAGGGCAAGGCGTCGGAAATTGCTGGACAGGCCAAGGGTAAGGCGAATGAGATCGCGGGTGAGGCTAAGGGGAAGAAGGATGAGCTGAAGGGTCAGGCGAAAAAAGCAATGGATTAGATCGAAAGGATGGTCCAAGAGCGTGAGATGACAAGGGGTGTATGAATAAGACTACCAGTAAGCACGGCGTACGTTGGGAATGTCGATAAATCCTCAATTAATCGCGTAACGCTACCATGATCTTTATAATAGTCGCGAGTGTGTTCCGTATCGCGAATGCTCAAACCTGGTCCTGAGAGCAGCTAAGTCTTCGCACACATAAGCACATACTCCCTTGAACTCTCGCCGAACCGAATGACGTCCCCACTCCTCAGCTCCATATATCGGCCCCCCTCAACCTTCTCACCATCCACACTCGTGCCATTACGACTCTCAAGATCAATCACGTACGGCTTCACCCGGCCCTTTCCCCCTGCTTTCTCTCTGTAACGAAATTGAATCGCTGCATGCTGCCCACTACAACTCGGGTGCTCGACAAGTATATCCGCCACCTTGGCCTCGCGTCCTATGAGCCAGCAGCTTCGCGCATTAAGCTCTGTTGTACCGATGCAGGCAGAGTCTTTGAAAATGACGAGGGACCATGGAGCGCTAGCAGGGGGCTTGCGTGCTTCAGGCGGTTCGTGGTATTTGAGCGAGATGTTTGTGCCGGTGACTTTGTTTGCTTCTTTAGCGAGGAGGCCGGTATTGGCAAAGTTGGGCTTTTGTTTCTCGACGGGCGGAGGGGCGGACGGGTCGAGTTCGGCGTTGAAGGCGGCGTTCTGGCTTGCGAGGGGGCCGCTGCGACGGACCGGTGAGCGAGCAGGAGAGAGCTTGCGGGACGGAGAGTGTCTGTGTCGGCGAGATGGAGAGAGTGAAGACGAGTGCTTGCGTGAGCGATGGCGGTATCTGTCTCTTGAGCGTGATCGTGAACGTGAGCGTCGTCGACGGTGACGGTGACGGTCTGGTGACGTGCTGCGAGGACGCTTCGAGCTTCTGTTTGGCGACGGCGAGGTGCCGCGTGGTTGTCTATCTCTTGAGCGCGACCGTGGTCTTGTAATCTTCCTATCTCTTGATTCTGACCGTTCGCGTTCCCGCGAATCTCGGCTCCTGCGGTACTTATCGCGGTTCCTCGTTCCTGCGGGAACTCGGGGTTTGCTCTCCAAGGAAGGATCGCGACGGTGGCGCTCATGGCGAGAGTTTTCCCGGCCACGCTTTGTAGGCAAACGGCCTGGACTCCTGCTATTACTCCTGGGACGCTTACGTCCGGCACGATCGTCATCAGACGGGGAGTGTCTTGTGTGGTGTGGCGAAGCAGAATGGCGGATTACACGACCCGTGTGACGGCGAGGCGACTGTGGTTTATCATAGGCTATGCGACGATGACTGCCTGAATCATCAGGAGGAAGGCGCGAGAGGCGATCTGGATGTATGTGAGACGTCATGTGTGATGGGGCGTTGGTGGATGAGAGGATGTTTATGCTACAGGACCAAGTAGCAAGCTGAGTAATTACTAAGAGAGTGTGAGGGTGTCTCAGGTCGTTTGCAACATGAATGCGACGTCGTTCGGGGTGTACTAGCAAACACAAGGGTTATGAAAGGTAGCCTGATTGAGTGGTGGCAAGGAGATCAGGTGGTTATTAGGAGTAGTGGAGTGTGGACAAGGTGTAAGGTTGGTGGAGGTGATTTTCTGGTGTTTGCCGCAAGATAGGGTTGCCTGTTCGGGTAAAGCGCCATTGTTGAGGCTCAGGTACGAAGTCTTTTCGACGGATCGTATCAAATACATCCTTCATCACTTACACATCGGCCACAGGCGCGATAGATTTCAGCCTGCAGTCAATAGTCTGAATATACGCTGCCCCTGAGCTACTAGATTCAATTGTCGAAGAATGCGTAGGGCTGGACACGTACGGTCGGCGCTTGGTTGCAGCATCTGCGACAGCTTCCAAGCGACGACCAGGAGGTATAATGCTGGACAGGAAAAGTGTCAGGCTGCGGCGTCTATCCACTGGCTGCGCAATGCTCTCTCCTGTCAGTGGAGTCAAGACTACTCTCAGCCTGGGAGAAGCTCGTGGGGCCACGTTTGAGATCCAAGACATTGCTCGTCGTCTATCAGCCAAACGAAGTGTGCCCCGGCGATCGATATGCATGTACTCGAAGGATTCATTCATTCCGGCCCCACGGATGTGGCTGCACCATGCCTTTCTCCTCCTCTAAGCCTGCGCCGCTCCGCAACGGAACCCTCATGTAATTATCTGGACCCAAGATCGCTGACTGTCAGTGGCATGATATTTGGGGGTACCTGGATTTGATTGTTTGCTTCACTGATCAGTCCAGCACTCCAGGCGCCTACAGTTCCGACTAATTAGCAGGTAGTGGAGAGGACAACAGGCAGGTCTCGTAATGCGCCTGGACTGGTATATCACATTTATAATGTTCAAAAGCTGCACCATAGCCCTGGTTTTGTCTGCTCGGTTTCCGACGCGCATATCTTCAATCTATTTTGCTCAGTGCAGCACAGTCTGCCAGTAGTCCATATACGAATAATACCTCTTTCTGCATGAATCGCAGCAGTCTCCTAACCACAAGCTGTAAACCCCCTACTGTCCAGGTCGTCCCGACCACGCGAGGATAGACAAGCAGACAACTATTCTCACACACAATTGAGCATGCGCCCGTGCAAAGGCTTGCAATTGTCATGGCGTCCAAGTTCTTCTCGCGCTCCAAGGCCGAGTCGAAGACATCATGGCCTGGGACGCCTCCCATGGGCGGGTTGGTGGCTATCGACACCGAGTGCGAGTGGCCCGACACATCTTGTTCGGCCACTTCACCAGCTGTAGCTGCGGCCGGAGCCGGAGCGGGCGCAGCATTTCACTCTGGACACGCGGCCATGTCCGGATTCGGCTACAGCCACACTTACGGCTACGCAAACGACCATTTCCGGGTAAGTCTGTCCCCGTAGTCCCATAAAAATGCTCCGTTGGAATCGGCGATACATCACACCCATAGTACAACATTCCAACTTTCTTCGCAACAAGTTCATAACAACAACCCATGCCTCTATACCCGCCAGCTGTTGGTCTGGAGCCCTTGTAACTTGTTGGCTTTGTTGGAAGGAGCCGGCCTGACCATGTCTAGCACGGCTAAGAGGGCACCGGACACAGGCGACCGAGAGAGGCTACGTGGAGCTGCAGTTGCGGCTTTGGCTGACGGCACCCTTGAATGTCTTCCCTCCCACCTGTCGACTACCGTCACCGTTCAACACCTCTGCTGTTCCGAGTGTGTTGTTGTCTTCTCATTCGCTGACCACTACTGTCATACCAGAAATCCGCGGCCCCCCATAACCGTCCAAAACCCCTCGACTTGTCCGTCTCGACTCACAATATTTACACGGCTTCCGACTTACACGATGCTGCCCTACATTCTGTCAGCTCCGCCTCCAATCTACTTGCTGTAGTCAATGGTATGCTGAAGTCGCCTCTACTTGCTACTCACCATAAGCCACTGCCGCCAAGACCACAACACCCACGCTCTAAGACTGCGCCGTCGACTCCAGAACACCTGGTTCCCGAACTACCTGGCTCGATCCTTCTGAAGAATCGTGGCTTTCCCCAGGAGCCCCGGTCCGCTTCTGCGACAGATGACGAACGTCGTCGGAGGCGTCTAACTTATCAAGCCAGCTCTGCCACAGTCCGCACTGCTCCTCCAAGAACTACCCCTATGGATTCCTTCTTTCCTCCCATGCCCGAGCTTCGGAAGAGCAGACTCACTCGCGGTTTAAGTGCAATCAATACTGCCATGGACAGTCGCATCACACTATGCTCACAGCCGACGAATCCAAATAGCAGCTTCGAATCTACAAACGACGGGAACGACTCCGAGTCCTCCAGCAGCTTGCGTCCTTCACCTTTGAATGTCGAAAAGAATGGCTGCAGCTCATCTGGGAATAGCCTCAGGCCAGCCGCGCTGGGGAGCCGAAGCCGTTCGTATGGTGGTCCCAGTCACGTGACTCGCACCTCCCTTTCTTCTATCCACTCCGATGGCCAGCAAATCGAGCAGCTCAAGCTGACGCTAGATGCGCAAAAGCACACCATATCGACGCTTACCGACCAATTCTCGAGCCTCAAGGGCAGCCACGAGGCTCACGTCAGCAGCCTCGTCGAATCCCACGCCAAGGAGATGAACTCCCTAAGGACGTACATCGAAGGATTGGAACAGAGGCAATCAAGATCAAAGCCTCTCAATCATGGTAAGTCATCCTTCTGCGCCGTCGATCGGCTTACTTAGCCGCTGGCTAGCTCCGAGTTCCCATATGATGATTATGCTTGATACCGAGCAGTCCGATTGCCGCCCGAAAGACAAGTCTCTAACCAATGCGCCAGACCAGCCCCAGGATGCTCAAAATTTGCAAACATTCAGAGAGATCCGGCCAGACTCTCCGAATTCGGTTCCTTCTGTACCTCCCAGGGCACCAACCCGTAGCTCCAAGGAGGAAGACCGTGTCCGTCGGGAGCACTCCAGATTGAAAAAGAAGATCGAGACTGCAAACTCACAGACGATCGCTATCATGACTCAGCTCGAGAATGCCAGAAAGCAAGAATCTGCTTTTCGGAATGAGGTTCAGGCTCTAGAGGCGCGACTCGAAGAAGCCAACATGGAGAAAGTCGATGCGCTTGAGGCTGCATTCACGTATGAGGGCGAAATCAAAAGGCTTCAGCAGAAGCACAAAACTCTCTTTCAGGACAAGGAATTGCGTGTCGAAGCTGTCCATGCTCAATCCCAGGATTTCGCACGTAAACTTGAGAGCGCCGAGTCAGAGATTAATAAGCTTACAGCTCAACTAAAGACCGCGAATGAACGAAGACCTGAGGAGGACGCAATATCAGCATTCGTTCGTCAGATTGAAGACCTGCAATCCAAACTCACGACCTCGAAATCTGACCGACATCGTCTCAAGAAAGAAAATGAGCACTTCCGTCTAGAGCTCGACGACGCCGAGCAGCGGCTTAAAGAAGTGATGAAGGTGAATGAAAAACTTGTCCGCGAAGGTACTCAGGGGGGTGAGTATGGCCGTGTTCGTCGTGAGAATCTCGAACTCAAGGCAAAATGCTCAAAATACGAGGAGTCGATCGCAAAGATCCAACTCAACTCCGAAGAGTATTACCGCTTGCTCAAATCCGAGATCAAGAGAAAAGCCTGCAAGCGTCAGCAGTGCCTCGAAGATGGCCATCTTGACCCGCTGCTATACCCTCTAGCCAACACGGATCTGTCCCCACGCGACAAAGAACGCCTCTTGAGCAAAGAGATGAAAGAAACCAAATCTAAAGCCGCACGCCTCTTGGGATTGAGCGAAGACTCCCAAGATCCTCAAACGCAGTTGCGTATCCTTGAGAAGGAGAACGACTACCACGTCCGTGACATTGTCGCCTACCGCGTTGTCGTGCGCGATTACGAGCGTGAAGCGAAAAAGCTCGCGGCTCGTATTCAGAAGCGCGACACCATGTTACTCCAACTTCAACAGCATAAGCAGACGCACCCTTCGCCCTCGCGAGACACACCTCAGAGCTCCGTATCCAGCGCGTCCACCGGTCCCGGTTACTCGCCCCGCACGCCCCAATTTCCACCCGGAACTCCAAGCACAGCGATGAGCACGCCTCTCTCAAGCATCAGCATGGGTAGAACAGAGCGCGCAGCGTCCGCACCCCAAGGCTCCGGTCAGGTTCCGAAACTAGGCTCACGCTCCAGCTTTAGCATACACAAGAAACTCCCCAAGCCGCCACCCCTCACATCCCCCAGTGAGGACAGTCCCAAGAACCCTCGAGGACTGGGAATAACATCACACCCATATTCTGGCCCGCCACCATCCCCTTCACCAAGAAGCGTACCGCGTATCGGCAACAGCCCCATGCAGAGCCTAACCCCTATCCGCGAGGTCAGTCTGAAGATGCGCAAGAGCCGGCGAACTATGAGCGAGAGCGTCGTTACCGCGTATCCCAGAACGCCACCCAACGGCACAGGTCGAGAATCGGACGCCTCACCCGAAAAGACGGAGCGCTCTTCAAGCAACGAGTCCGTCCCGCGGCCCAGCCTCCCCGAGCTCGCAGGCAACTCGGCGATTCCCGCTTCTCAGGACGCGACTATCACGTCGCCAGATACTACATCTGCAGCCCACGACACCGAAAGGGAACGCGAGATGTGGAAATCCCGCAAGGCAGCCGTGCGCGCAAACGTCCTCGCGCGCGCCGAGGGCCGCACCGACGCCAGCGAACGCAGCGATGGAAGCCCCATGGGCCGCGTCCTCCGGCTCAAGAGGAGTAAGAAGGATCTCGGCGGAAGCGTCGAGGAAGGGAAGAGGAGCCCCGGCTTTTGGCGCGGGGATGGGATCAAGGGCCACAGTCGTACCCGGAGTGAAGCTTGAAACAAGCAGTCTCCCCGAGTTGATGACTTCGTGGTGGCTTGCTGATTGTTGACGTACTGGCTACTTTGCCGTGTTCTTGCAGTATATCTTTCTCTAAGAATGTCTCTCGAACCCTTTTTTCTTTCTTTTATTTTCGTTTTGTTTCGGGCTCGACCTGGCGTGGATTCTGTGTTGAGCGTGGCGTTGTTGATATTTGGACGTGGTGATAGGATCGAGGTGAGGAATTGTACATATGAATTGATTTTATGCACGCGCTGGGGGATGATGACCAACAAAGGCAAAGGAGATTCCAGGCAAAGGCTTACATAATGGGCCTCGCATTTCTTAATGTGTCAGTCGAAGAATGTCAAGGCGAACAACCTCCGACTTGTTAAAACGCTCTGTAACGCATTTCATCCACGCATGCGTCCAACTTATTGCCCAAAACAAAGACCCCCATTGAGCCCACAAAGCCCCCTTTTCAAACTCCAAATCACAGTTGTATTAACAGCAATGGCGTTGATATAGTATTACAAACGCACTTGTTTCGAACTCGATTCGGACCTTCCCTCCCGCCATCTTGACTTGGAACAGAACGTCAAACGATTACCTATTATAAGCAGTCGGGTATATATATTCTGTAATGATAGAAGACAGTCACAGATGACTGCGAGTCCTGGTTCGTTCTGCATGTGGCAAAGTATGATTGTCTCACCTTAGGAAGATGTGCGTTCGAGGATGGATGTGGTAAAATCATTATATTTATGTGTATATGTATGGATATATGTATATCTCTCAGGAGGACCGATACTACATGTACTTATCTACCACAAAAACATCCCTTGCTTGCGCGAATGACGGTGCCTTATATGCCAACACATGCATTGGGCGCTGAGACTGCTTACAGCCATTGGTATAGTTGGATGGACTGGAGTTGGCCCGACAGTCGGCTTATACTACTAAGAGCAGCAAGCAAGCTTCGGACACAGTGGTACTCGTAATGAGGAGTTTACTTGACGGATATCCTCGTACGCACACATAAATGGTGCGAATCCATGCGTACGAGTTACGACGTCTCGAACATCTTCTGCGGATGTTGAATACCAAGACATATGATGAGAGTTATGGTAATTGATGTGGCAGGTCCACTAGTACAACCGAGATGGCGTTCAAGGAGGTTTTGCAGCTCCGCAGATACCGCACATGCCGGTATCCCCGGAGTTGATGTATGCGCCGCCGCGGCACTGTAGGGATTGACAGCGCCAGTGGATGGGGAGGAGTCTTGTGTCGAGGACGTTGGCGCACGCTAGACATGTCAGGGAGCCGGGGTCGTTGAGGAGGGAGCAGGTTGGGCATTCGCGTGTAGATCGATGGGTGGGCTCAGGGTTCGCGGTGGTGTTTGGTTTTGAAGGCTTGGATTTGGTGGGTACAGTAGGTTTTCGTGTTTCGGTTCGAGGTTCAGACTTTGGCTTCGATTCAGGGGGCTTCTTGGTGGCTTTTGTTGCTGCTGGTCTGCTTTTAGGCTGAGCTTGATTACTGGGTGAGTTTGGAGCTTGGTTTTGTCGCTTTCTCATGGCAAGTTGACCGTTGGCAGCATACAGTTCAGCCATTTCTCTTTTCGCGTTGTCGTCTTGCTCGTCTTCGTCTTCGCAGATCTTCACCATGCCGTGGCCGTTGGAATCCGTCATCTGCTTGCCGTCCAGGTCAAGAGCCGTATCCTCCATTTCTTCGACATCACCGTAGTCTGAGTCGGATTCTGTCTCGGACTCCTCCTTTTTGACATGGACTTCTTCTTTCTTGACCTGGTCGAATCTCGCCAACGCAGCCGCAGCCCTAAGCTCTCGTCCCCTCGCACTGCCCGCAACTCTCGGTTTCCCCTTGACCATCTTCCCACCTTGAAGCTCCTCTTTCTTAATATCGTCCGCGCCTAGGGCCACCCCACCAGCGCCAAACTTCCTTAGTATCCTCCTCTGCTTCTTCTCCGCATAGGTCAACTCGCCCTCCTTCCCACCCCCCTTCCCACCTCTCCTTCTCTTCCTCCGCCTCGTCCTGAACGTACCCCCACACAAGTTCTCCGGCACATCCAACTCCACCCCGCCATCCCTCTCGCTCACCTCCCCATTCAAATCCCTGCCCACACCCCACAGTCCCTCCCCGGTATACCTCCTCTCCCACAGCGCCCTCATCTCGCCCGCATACGCATCGCGCACCTTCCAGAACGCCTTGCTATGATTCATCTCCTTGCAATGCGCCAGCTCATGCATCATGACCATCTGCACATGTCTGAACGGCAGCCACCGCCCAGCCCTGTCCTTCAGAACCAGCTGTATGACCTCCCCGGCGTTGAAGTTGCGCCCCACGAATTCGGGATTAGGGGGGTATTCCTCGAGGGCCATGACGGCGATGTGGTGCGTTCGCATGACGGGCACGCATTGCGCCGCGATGCGCGAGAGGATGGAGTGTGCGGTTGTGGAGGATGGGCCGGGCAGTGGCTTTATGAAGTTTATGAGTGGGTTGGGGCGGGTGGTGCGTTCGTTGAGACGCTCGAAGCCGAGCGGCATCGTTGGGGGGTTGTGGTTCTGGCCGGTGGTAGAAGGTGGGTCGTAGGAGTGAGTCGTCGTGGCGGAGAGAGATCGTGTGCTTCGGTCGGGATGACGATTACGCGACTGGTGCGTAACGCGGTACGCGGTATCACGTGTTAGTATTTATCTGATAGTGGAATAGACTTATTTCTTGGATCTTTCAAATAATTGCTATGTTGAAGTCTACATAGTTATATTCCTCATGGATGCTCATATCAGAATCTAGCGTGCTTCGTGGGAACCGTAGAACCATGAACTAGCATATTAGAGCCTTTTCCTTGAGGCTGGAGTTAATCAGAATGCTAAAGCGGGCTTCTGTCATGTCTTGATGGCAATCTGAGACATAGCCATGGTCTAAACATTTCTATCATGCAGTTCTATCCAGTATGCAACCCAACGCTCTCATGCCCGACTCGCGCCCGCGGCCATTTGCGTCCAACTCCCATCCGGATGCCAGATCCCCGCCTTCGTATAATCCGCCACGGCAACACCCTGTATCTTGCCAAACGCGATGAATGCAAATCTAAAGTACTCAGGCAGTCCCTCAACATGGCGCGTCCAGCTGAATGAATCCATGTTGTCGTCCTGGAATCCCCTGAACCGCTCAACGTCGTTCACGTAGACACTCACGCCGTCATATCCGCGTGTCGGCCTGTCCCACGTGAAGGTGATATTGCTACCGTTCACGAGTGGCGTGGCGATTGCAGGTAGGAGACTGCCCAACTGAGCATCGCCTCGGAGAGCGGCGGAGGTCTCGAGGATGCTGGCGTAGCCCCAACGCGCTGCGCCGTCTATAAATAAGCCAACAAGAAACCCCTGGAAGAGTAGACTTGGCCGTGTCTGCATTGCTGTGCCTGGAAGGAGTAGTAGAGCTAGAATATAGTGATGGATGCGGAGATTTAGACCCGGTATCGCGAGTAGTAACAGTATGGTTACACCGAGAGTAATGTACAATGCTAGATAGCGCGGTAGGCGACCTTCAAGTCGGAAATTCCATGCTTGGAGCAAGACTATGGCGACCAAGACAATGATGATGATAACCAATGCGGCAATAGCACCAGGTTGCTGGTTCAGGTCGTGAGGCGTGAGTCGCTGGATAGGTATTTTCTCCGTAGTGTAGTGAGCAAGGGACCCTACCCAGAAGCCTCCGATCCAGAGGACAGTCTTCTCAATCTGGGCTTCAAGCCCAATCAAGGACTTCTTAATACTGATTCGATACATGATGGCCATCATAAAAGCAGCTGGTAGGAATCTGCTGAACGCAATGGAGACCAAGGTGTTAAAGTCGATAGCCTCGGGTGGGTTGGATGCCAAACCGACCTGGAAAAATCCGGCGCAGAATACAGATGCGAAGAATACAGGTGCTGATGTGGTGAACAACGAAAGGATTGCGGTAAAAGTTACAGACACACCCAGGAGGCGCCATTGAGGATCATCATACCCGTCTTGGTAGTCAGCCAGTACCGGGTCTCGATCGAATGTGAACGTAGAAGGAAAGCTTCCATTGAAGCCCACACTCGAGATCCCATTACTAGTGGTGTCTGGGTAAGACGTCTTCTCTCCAATCATGGAGATGAGCCCGAGACCACCACTACCATCCGTGATGACGCCAGCATGAATGGCAGCGCCGCAGATGAAAGAGTCTGCTCGATAGTTGAACGCTTCTTCGTCGGCGGTAGCGCCACCGACGACGAGTGAGCGGTAGTTGATTTCTTGGTCACCTATTGTATAAGGATTCAATACCATGGTGTCAAGACAGCCAGCAGGGCAGCGGAACAGCCACGTATTGTTTTCGAATGGCCGGCAAGTCTCGCCGTTGATACCACACGTGAGTCCGTCACCCCTGTAGATGTAAGTATGCAGACGCTCAAAGACTGGAAACTCATTACCATAATCGACTTGTGCAACTCAAGGTGGTTGGTGTGCCAAATCTTCCAACACTTCTTACGGTATATGCCTGGCGTAAAATATGAACGAAGAGAGACATCCATAGGATGTAGTAGGCTAGAAGCGCAAGTATTTTCGGACGTCGTCCGGGAAGTAAACGATTGCGCACCGCGATTGGATAAAACTGTATTTTCCCTAGAAAACCCTTCTCCATGCGGTATCGACGCGCATCCGCCGGACCTTGAATCCATCTCCAGGCCTTTCCAAGAGGTCCGGTCACGGGTTGCGAGACTTGTTGCGCCCGTCTCGTAGCTTTTTGCGCAAAGAGCGGTAGTCTCTCGAAATCGGACCGAGTCCGGGTGCCGGAGTCTGTCGACGAGGATCCCTGGGAACTATTATCCGTAGGGCTGGATCGAATAGGGCCGTCGGTGGTTTCGATCTTGATCATCGGATATGCCTTCGAATCGGTGCTGCGAGATGAAGCTGACGCTTCTATATCATCGCGCGAGTCATTGGCTCTCGTGGAGCTCGAGGCATGGGACGCCATTATGGATATTGCCTAGGAATATGGACACAGAGCTTTGTGACGCTCTCTCGGTCATATCAGAGACTTTTCAAAACCATGACAAGGCTTGATGAGATGGCGATGAAGACGTTTTGTTCTTCGCCCCCGGCCCACACTGAACGTGAGATGGATCGGCCTGGACGCGGTGCCGCTCGTCGCCGCGCGGCGAGGCTGACAATGGCACGTGATCCATCCAGACGGAATGTATTATAGGTCCTCATTCAGGCTCATTGCAGGCTTGAAGAGCTTGGCTATGCGATGTTGTCCGATCTATCCGCGACCTTTGGGAGTTCTACACGAGAATAGAGCGTAGTTTGGTAACTTGGCTCGGAGATGAGTTGGTACGGCCAAGGCCTTGAGTTTGCCAACTGGCTGGTGTGCTAAAGGTGTCACCATGGCCCTACTTATACTGACCGATTCGAACGAGTAAAGGAATGCTGTGGTTTGACTGTCATGACCGTACTTAGACGAGGAGAATCTGCGATCGATCAGTCCACCTGAAGAAGTCATCGAAGCATCCGTGCGTGAGATGTCTGGGATCACCACGTGACCATGTCCTCTTATCGATAACGAAAGGCCATGTTGGTTGAACGGAGTCAATCTTCATCACCCCCTTGAGTCACATCTATATTGTCATTTGCAGGTAAACCACAGTGAGTCAGTCCCTGAAATCCAGGCTGACTCCAAACTATCAAATGCCCGCGAACGCAAAAGGCCCCCACAAGTTGCAAGGCTACTCAGCCCCGCCTGGGTTGCATTGAGGCAGACACTGGAAATGGTGACATTCGGCTGAACACTCGTATATCAAGAGCAACACCGTGACTCAACAGACGCATCTCTGCGCTCATATACATAAAGACATCCAACTGACCGCTATTCGTGACCAAGGCTTCATTTTACAATCATTCGTATAGAGTGGCCCTTAGTTTTCTCATATCCGAGCACAGGATGTCAGAACAACTCCAAGGGCAAGCCGCACAGGTGCAAGCTGCTCAGGGCCCGGCAGTCCCACTACTGCCCGCACAACCGACTGTGAGCTTCTTTGCGCAATACAAGAATGAACACACAATTGACGAGCCCAGGAAGCCAACCAACCCAACGCCATCGTCGACTACAACTTCCCCCCGAAGCCGCTACTCAAGCTCAAGTCTTGCTATGTCCGAGTCTACCACCCATATGACGCGCTCTCAATGTCCCACTTTGGCAACAACGCCGCGGTGGTCAAATACATGACTCTTGGATTCCCGTCGCCTTACACGATTGCAAAGGGCTATGCGTGGCTCAACATGTGTCTGTCCGCCCCAACGCAGTACAACTTCGCAATCTGCGTCAGACCAGGCGACTACGATGACGTGACTCCTCGTTTCTCGGCCCCGGAACCCGGCGAAGCTCACTCTTGTATCGGGTCCATCGGTCTGAAGCCCGGGAGTGACATTGGCGCACGAACGGCGGAGATCGGGTACTGGGTCGGCGAGCCGTACTGGGGCAAGGGGATCATGACGGAGGTGCTTGCCGGCTTCACGGACTGGGCCTTTGAAGCCTTTGGGTATCTCCGGCTCTGGGGCGGGGTGTTGTCGCCGAATACGTCGAGCTTCCGATGCTTTGAGAAGGTTGGGTATTTGAGGGAAAGTGTGATACGGCATGCTTTCGTCACTCGGGATGGTGTGCTTTGTGATGATGTGGTCTTCAGGATGTGTAGAGACGAATGGGAGGAGCTGAGGAAGGAGAAAGGCCTGACTGGGGGGTCATAATACGTGGCATGAGGTCTACAGGTAGGGTATTATGAGCGATTGAGTCTCGTAGGTATTTCTTTGACTTACTTTACCGTGGACCAGGGTTCCAAGGGGGTACGGGGTCAATCCGCTCATGTATGTTGAAGCTGTCTCACTGGCCACTATCGACACTCTCCTTTCAAATTCTGACAAAACCTTTCTTCATCTACATCATCTACTACATCGTGTTCTTTCTCAATGTCACAAGATTATACGAGCATTCCGGGGGTCCTCGATCATGATTGGTCAGGAAAAACCGGAGCCGAACCGGCTAGGGCTTCCGAACCGCCGACGTCACAAGATTAATTATAGAATTGCGAAATTTTACCCCAGGATGACAGACGTTACACCAGAAAATTCTCACCGGGTGGATTGATGCTTCATCCAAAAAATCACTACTATATATTCTGTTTCTTTTTTCTGACCTTCACTCGCTCTCGGCATCATCATCATCATCAGATAGTACCTCGTTAGTATACTGTATATAGAACCATGGCGACCAACGGATTTAGCAAGCATGCAGCACCACATGCACATGCACATGCACATGCAGAGCTCGACCAGGAGCCACCCCTACAGCGCGCAGAAGAAGTCGAAGATGTGCGTACCAAGCAAAACACCACACCCTAGACCCCCCTTGTATTCTAACACCACCACACAGCTCCTAACCTCCATGATGGAGCTCATCATCCCCTTCATCCGCGCCGCCGACGACCACGCAAACACCATGACCACAACCACAACCACCACCACCAAGCCCCAAACCCCAAACAACGAAACCGCCAACCCACCCCGCACCGTCCTCGTAGAACACCACCCCCCGGAAGAACTCAAATCCCTCCTCAACCTCAGCATCCCGCGCACCGGCACCCGCAAACCCGGCCTCCTCGCCTCCGTAGCCCAAATCCTCCGCTACTCCGTCAACACCTGGGACCAAGGCTTCATGGACAAGCTGTACAGCAGCACCAACGCCATCGGCCTCGCCGCCGAACTCCTCCTCGCCGTCCTCAACACAAACGCCCACGTCTACGCCGTCTCGCCCGTGCTCACGCTCGTCGAGAAACACACTACCGCCCTGCTCGCCCGTCTTTTCTTCGGTGGTGGTGGTGATGCTGACGCGTGTCCGTTCGCAGGCGGCATCAGCCAGCCCGGCGGCAGCGCCTCGAACGCCTCTGCCATTGTCGTCGCGCGAAACACCTTATTTCCCGAGACGAAAAACACGGGCAATGCAGGCCGGCGCTTCGTCCTCTTCACCAGCGCACACGGGCACTACAGCATCGAAAAGGCCGCGCAAATGTACGGTTTCGGCCGGGATGCCGTGCGCTGCGTGCCCGTCGACACACACGGCCGGATGCAACCCGCCGCGCTAGACGCCATGATCAGCGCCGCAAAACAGGCTGGGGAAACACCGTTTTTGGTCAACGCGACGGCCGGCACGACGGTGCTGGGCAGCTTCGATCCGTTTGAGGGGATAGCGGATGTGTGTGGGCGGCATGGCGTGTGGATGCATGTGGATGGGAGTTGGGGCGGCGGGGTGGTGTTCAACGAGCGGCTGCGCGGGAGTCGGTTGCGCGGCTGTGAGCGGGCGGATAGCGTGGCTGTGACGCCGCATAAGATGCTGCAGGTGCCGATGACGTGTTCGTTCCTGGTCGTGCGGGATCTGAGGTGTGTGTGGAGGGCGATGAGCTTGCCGGCGGGATAGTGAGTTTTTGATATCCCCCTTTTCTTCGTTTTCTCTCTCTTCCCCCCCCCCTTCAACCACCAACCTTCTCATATATCTCATGTCTCACCCACCAAAACAGCCTCTTCCACACCGACCCCACATCCTCCAACGCCCAATTCAACCCCGCAACAACCCTCTACGACCTCGCCGACCTCACCCCGCAATGCGGCCGCCGCGCCGACTCCCTGAAGCTCTACCTCGCCCTCCAGTACCACGGCCTAGACTACTACTCCGCCATGCTCGACCGCGCCTTTGCCACGGCCGCCGCACTGCACGCGCGCCTAGCCGCGCATCCCGATTTCGTCATGGTGCCGTATAGCACGTCTCCTACCACCACCACCACAACAACCCCCCAAAAACTCCCAGCAGAACCCCCAACCAGCCCACCCTGTCTCCAAGTAACATTCCACCACGCGCCGGGCGGACTGTCGGCGGACGCGGATGCGAACTCGGCGTATACGGAGGCGCTTATTGCGGGCTTAGTGCCGCGCGGGTGGATGGTGGACTATGCGCCGGGCGAGAAGGGGAAGTTTGTCAGGGTTGTTGTGAATGCGGGGACGAGGGCGGGGACGGTGGATGGGTTTGTGCGGGCGGTGGAGGAGGTGGGGAGGGAGCTTTTGGGGAGGATGTGCGGGGGAAGGGTGAGTGATTGAATGAGATGAGATGATTGAAGGGACGAGACGGGTAGGAAAGAGCGTGTTGTTAGTGGTGTGTGTGTGTATATGGGGTAGGATATGAGATGGGTAAATAGAGCAAGTCGGGTGGCCATCTGAGAGAAAAAAGGAATATCGAGTAGCATAGACGACAGCAGGACATGTACCACATAAAGCACCAACATGTATATACCGACATAAAAGACGAGTGTATTGTGTGCCTATAGCGTCACTGATACCATAGGTAGGGTCTACAGATTCCATGCAGTCGATCAGCACCCGGCCACGTATAACGAAACAACAAGCTCCTTTCGAGCCTGAGGCGCAATGACAGCATCAGATCACGAATATGAACAAAACTAAAAATAAAGAATTGATTTTTTGATAGGTGAATCCCAGGTTACCTCTGTGTATGGTGACAGTTTTGTAGAACGCCGGTGGCCATGCAGATGCGTGAAATTCGACAAACACATGACCCAACAGATCCGTCCGCGTCGGGCGGAACGACTCGTTAAAACTGCGCGCTGGTGGCGGCAGAGTGGAGATAGAATGAAAGACGGTACGGAATGAATGAATGTAGTAGCGATCGTGTCAAGAAACGGATGCTTCCTGTGGCTGAGGCTGAGATTCTTGCTCCTTCCCAATCTTCTGCTTCTTCTGCTCCTCCTTGTCCTTCTTCTTCTTGTCCAAAAAATGTCTTTCCCGCGCCAATTCCAGAGCACTCTTATGCTTCTTTGTCCCTTCCTTCGCATCTGCGGCTCCATCATTCTTCTCCGGGAAGCTCATGAAGCCATCGTTACCAGCCCCTTGGCGGCTTCGCTTCACCCATGTATCTCTGCGTCGCTTATACAGATCCATCTCCCAGTTTCGCCACACATTGCGACCCACAAAGGAGCCGCGGAGAGCGGCTTCGTTTTCGGCCAGTTCTTCGGCGATCCGTTCACGTATGAAAGCTAGGCCAGATGTGCCGGCCCATACAGCATCGATGACGTGCGATGCAGAAGGGTCAAGTGCCATCTCGCCGATATGGCCATAGAACCGTTGTATCATCTTGCGGCGGAAGATGAGGGACGCCGATGGTGACTTGAGGGCTGCTTGCAACGTGCGTGATGCACTCGGGTCACGTGCGAGGGCAATTGACAGTGGAGTAGACAGCCGAGCGAGAGAGTCGAATACAAGATCGGACAACGTGCCGGGCACTGTAAGCATGGACTGAGCGAGGAGAGACGAGTGGAGACGCTCTGGCATTGACGTTGGCGCACGATGTTGTTGCGACGCCTTTGGCGGAGGCGATGACATCGTTGACTCGGAAGCGACTTCGCTGAGCTTGAGCAGACGTGCAATTTCGAATCCATTGCTGCCGGCGTATGACGCTTCGAGCGCTGTCGCAAGGCTGGCCGTGTCGGCGTCGCGTACGACGCAGCGTTCGATAAGTGTCTTGATCACAGACGTCCTATTACGTTCCACCAAAGAGGGTATCTGTGGTATGACCAACTTGACAGCCTCTTCAAGATCGTCTTTACTCAGACGCTCAAGCACTTTGCAAACAACATAGCCAGCAACGTCATTGCGAGCTAGCTGAGCTATTCGGTCTTTGAAGTAGCTGCGGTACAGTGACTTGAACACTTTTCCAGGTGCATGTTCTACGATCGTTTCGACAAGTCTGGAGCCGATAGGATCGTATATCAAGCCTTTGACAAATCTCTCGCTCTCGGAGCCTTCTGTGAAGTCATCGTCGGGTAGCAAGCGACGAAAGAGAGTCTCACCATCTTTGGCGACTTTTGACTTGCTAAACTTGGAGAGCTCGAGCTGCAGTAGCAGTTGTAGAATGGGGTTGCCGGTCTGATGCGTTGCAAGGGCGCGCAGGTACGTCGTCTCGAGCCCTGAGATACTGAGCTTGATAATCTTCTGAGCTTCGTCCAGGAAGTGCTGCGGGACGACACGCTCTTCGGGTGTGACGGTTTCAGTGTTCTCGGCACCAAGGGCAACTGCATTAGACTCCTTCTTTCTGCTGTGTAACAGGGTGCGTCGGCTTGTCGGCTCGAGTGGCATGCCAGACAGGACGACCAGTAAGACACGCAGCGGGTGGGATGCGTATCGATCGGTGATTAGATAGCCGAGATTGGCCTCCAGCTCGTTTGCAGCATAGAGAAAGAGCGATTCCATGGTGACGTAGACTTCGTTTGGATCCGATGGCGCACCAGTCTTAGATCCCTCACGCATCTCGTGTGATACAACTGGGGCAGAATGGATGAATATGGCCTCGCAGCAGTGGGATGCGAATCGATGCTGTACCATGTTCAAAAAGCTATCGCTGTTAGCATGTCTCAAAGCCAAAACGTGCGGACATGATACTCACTTTCCGATAAAGGTCTGGAAGAGGCTCTTGAGTTGAGCGGGAGTGGCCAGTTGTATGAGTCGTTCCATCAATCTTGAGCAGCCTTGGCTGTGGGCGATCTTCAATTCTTTGCCGTGCACTTCTTTGTGCAGGTTCTCCAGAAAGAGCATGCGCTCCTCTGGATTTGAAAACTGGTTCAGCTCCAGCATTTCGCTAGCTCTACGAAAGTACTCCTGCTCTTCCTCGTCCAGCTGTCCGACCCAGTAATTTTCTTCGGTTGTAGGTTTGGCAGCATCGACGTCATGGGTGGCAGCAGGCGAGGGCTGCACTGCAAAAGCATCGTCGGCAGACTTTCTACTCTTTCTAGTACGAGGCACAGCCTCGACATCCTCGTCTTCATCGTCTCTCTTCCTCTTCTTCTCCTCGCGGCGGCCGCGCTTCTTGTTCTCTTTCGGCATGATGTGGTGGGGACGGAGTGAGGGCGCGCGAACCACGGAGCGGTAAGCGAGAAGTGTGAAAAAAAAAAGAATAAAAACTTCTAGACGACCGACATCAGCGCCGGGTTTAGAGGCAAGGCGAGGGCGGGAAGAAGTAGAGAGCGGTATTTGCACGAGTAAACGAGGCAAGAATGGTAGGAAGGAAGTTTTGGGAGAAGGATTGGTTTGAGGGATTGGCGGCAGTTGAGCGAGCTGACAAGCGGAGCGATAAAAGTTGGATGGGTGACGAGACACAGACACGACGAAAGACAGACACAAGACACGGACGCGCAGATGCAGGATTAGTGCAGGCGTGGCGGAGTGAGTGGAGTGAGCGTAAGAGGCGGCGGGTTGTTGGAAATGCAGTGCAAAAGGGCAGAGGGCAGAGTAGAAGTGCAAAAGTGCAAAAGTGCAACTTTCTCTCACTCTCGATGGCGGTGGATGAATGCAGAGGGTCGACATCGAGAAGCGACTTCTAGAACACAATCCTACGCGACCGTTCGGATCCCAAGACGGGCACTAACCATTTCCCTACTGGGCCACCATTCCATGCGCAAGTGAGGCTACTACACACAATACATTGGCCTCCAGAATTGTGTTTGATCTGGTGATGTTGAGACGGACTGGGAAGAGAGGTCTTGTAGCATAGGTATATGGTATGCAGTATGTCATTTCGAATGATGAGCCACCACCTGTTCGAAGTTCATGGATCGTGGGTGGTACGAGGGACAAGACAGAACATGGCCAACGAATTACAGCAAGAGAGTATGAAGGACACAAGAACAAATGCGGTATGGAGCAAGGGGGAGTGAGTGCACTGGTCGATTTGCAGTGCATCTTGTAATCCCAGAAGAATGCTGTCAAGATCTGGTGAGACGGTAAGACGGTAAGACGGTGAGAGGGTGAGAGGGCGAGGGGGTTTGCCGTGATGAGAAGAGCACAGTTGATCGTTGATGACGATGATGATGATGATCCATCTAGCCATGAATCTATCCTATCCAGCACCGGCATCAGCATCAGATCAGCCTGTGAATGCCCAGCGCACCCTGCAGACAATGCAGAGGGTAGATGGAGGCGAGTGATTGGCCAAAAGGGCAGAATGTGGACGCCCCGATCGCAACGGTGGACAGGCATTAATTGCCAGCAGCGTGGCACGATCGCATCTACAATCTACCAGACCAGACTTTGCATGGTAGCTGGTATTAGACCTAGGAGTAATTAGTAGTAGGAGTATTAGTAGGAGTGATTAGTAGGAGGAGTGGTAGTAGTAATTAATAGCCCTGGAGTCCTGTGTTAATCTGGTCATCTCCACCAGTAGTAACCAGCCTATCCTTGGGGGGCGGGGGGCCACCATTTTGGGGGAGACGGGGGCCTTATTGGAGCCTATTAGAGCCTATTGTAGCCTATTGAGAGGCGACTTCTCGGCGGGGGGAGCAAACTGAACAGCGGCGGCGGTGTTGAGAGAGGCTTGGCTGGTACTGGTAGATTCTTGGATGTGATGCCCCACCCTACAACTACTAATTACCCACTACCTAGCTAGACGTATTATATACTACTGACTGACTGACTGACCAAATACACAAACGACACAACACGACAACACGACAACAAAACCACCACCACCACCTACACGCCGTCTGTCCTGTTCAGGTCAGTCCAGCTGATTGCCATTCGCTTCCCCCCAGCGGCTCCCCTCGTCAGCCTTGCTCCCACGAAACTGCGCCCCCCCTCACCCCTCCTCAAATCGCGACGACAACCAACATGGCTGCTGCTGCTGCGGATGGAGACTGCGCTGTCCGTGTCGCTGATTATGTCGACGACAAGCTGCAGACCTCGGCTGACCTGGCCACCGTTGATGCCCTCTTGACCGACGTCAGGACCAGATATGGCTTGCTCAAGTCCCAAGTAGGTAAGACTGCTCATGCGCCCGTCGCGCGTCCACTTACCATCCCTCCTAGCTCGACCATGCCACCCGCGAATTGGAAGATGCAAAGAAAGCCTCTCGGGACCACGCCATCCAGCTTCATCGCCAGTCTGAGCAATTCAACAAGGTCCAGGATGATATCACTCGCCGCCTTCAGATTGTCATGCAATCTGAGACTAGCGACGACGCCGTCCCGCAGTTCGATGCCATCTTCCAGAAGCTACAACGTCTCGACGTGGCCGCCGGTTATGTTGGTTTGCTCAAAGAGGTGGACACGTTGAGGTATGTACAACAATTTGCATCAGGACACAATGTCAGGCATGTGCTGACCAACCATAGTCAAGAGAGCGACCGTCTCCTGGACACCCCGGGGCAAGATGCACTCGAGCCATATCGTCGCCTCCGCACTCTTGCTGCTACACTGGGCCCTTTACAAGACGCTGCGGACGGAGCAGCTCCGCATCTGCTACACGATGTGCAGAAGCGTGTGCGGCATGTGTACGGCCGGATCAAAGAGTCGTACGCAACAGAGCTGGACAAGCTCCTGCATCAGCTCGGATGGCCCAAGTCCGACGTGGTGATACCTGCGACTCTACAAGACGAGTGGGACGACTGTGTCGGTAAGCTGCTGGACTTGCAGAGACTAGATCTTCTCGAACAGGAAGAATCAAAGACCAAACAGGGTTCCGACAAGGGTCCGACAATATTGCTACCGCTGGAGGTGTTGGTGCTGCCGCTGGAAATGAGGTTCCGCTACCATTTTGAAGGAGATCGGCCGACGAACCGGCTGGAGAAGCCGGAATACTTCCTCTCGCATGTCACCTCACTCTTGGCCTCGTACAATACCTTCATCGTGAGCTACGTGCAGCCTGTGCTACTCAACCGTTTCCGCGGTACCGACTTGGCATTCAACGCCGCATACATCGATGCCACCTCCGCCCTCATTACGGCCCTGTTACCGATGGTCCGAACCAAGGTATTCTCTTCGATACAGCGTGCTGCTGCTCAGCCGCAGCTCCTGAGTCATTACATGCATGAGCTTATGAATTTTGACACGACCATCCGAGATGAGTGGAGATACGAAGGGGGATATGGCATTGAAGGATGGAAAGGCATCACGTGGGAGGTACTTGTGCAGATGGACCTCTTCGGCCGGTGGCTGCAAGTTGAGAAAGACTGTGAGTGTTTTGCCCGATCGCCCGACCCCTGCCGTGTGTGCCATGGTTGACCCATGTTGGGGGCAGTTGCGCTCGCCCGATACAGAGATATTATTCAGTCACCTGATAGTGGAGAACTCGACTTTGACAGCATGGATGCGGGCGCCACGAAGCCGACCAAGGCAGCCATCCGCGTGAACGACTTGCTCGAGACGATAACCGGTGAGATCTGGGTTGGCGTGTAGGAGTAGGAGTATGGCCGGTTGAGAGCTAACGACGTCCCACAGAGCGCTACCGCCCTCTATCCTCATTCTCCCAGAAGCTGCGCTTCCTCATCGACATTCAAATCTCCATATTCGACAGCTACCACGCCCGACTTCACGAAGCGCTAGAGGCGTACCTGACCCTGACGTCGACCGTGGGTCGCAGCCTCCAAGGGACGACAGCCGAAGAAGACTCCTCGTTGAAAGGCGTCGGGGGCCTAGACCGACTATGCCGCGTGTACGGCAGCGCAGACTACCTCGAGCGCGCGATGCGTGACTGGAGCGACGACGTCTTCTTCCTCGAGCTCTGGGAAGAGCTCCAAGATCGGGCGCGGAACAGCGCATCGCTAGGCAAGACGACAGCCGCCATGTCCGTCACCGACGTAGCAGAAAAGACCTCGTCGACAGTCGGCAGCGACGGCGAAGGCGGCGCCCTCTTTGACGAAACCGCGTCCGCATACCAGCGCCTCCGCGTCCGCGCAGAGAAGATCATCGTCGAGACACTCAATCACGCAGTCTCCCTGGCCCTGCGGCCCTACACGCGCATCAACCCCTGGAGCACGCTCCCAGCCTCCGGACCCAGCACATCGGCCCTGCCAACGACCACGACAACCGCCGAGCTCGACACCACGCTGCACACGCTCCGCGAATCCTTCACCTTTCTCGCCCGCGCCGTCGCCCAGGCGCCCCTCCGCCGAGTCGTCCGCCAGGTGCTCGCCTCGCTGCAGACGGCGCTCTGGAACGGCGTGCTGGTCAAGCACACCTTTTCGACTGCCGGCGCGGCACAGCTTGGCGCTGACGTGGCGTCTATCTGCAGAGTTGTTGACTTGGCTGTTGGTGGTGGTGGTGGTGGTGGTAGTACGGGTAGCAGTGCAGTCGCAGAGTCCGGCCTGCGCAAGTTGCGCGAGGGCGTCTTGCTGCTTGGTCTGCCTTTTCGGAGTGGTGGTGGTAGTGGTGGTGATAGTAGTGAGGAGGCAGCGTCTGGATTGGGCCTGTGGCAGGTGGAGAAGAGGCTGTTTGCGGATAATGAGCAGGCGCGTGGCGTGCTGGAGGAGTTGGGCTTGGAGGTTGTGGGCGAGGCGGAGGCGAGGAGTGTGCTTGGGAGGAGGATTGAGCTGGGGAGTTAGGGGTTGAGTCTGGGGGTGAGTCTGGGGGTGAGTCTGAGGGTGAGGTGAGATGGATGGGGGAGGGAACGGTGGGAGGGAGGAGAGGAGAGAGAAGGAAAAGGAAAAGGAAAGGGAAAAGGGGGGCAAGGCAAGTATATATAGTCACGTCAGCTCCGTACATATACACCGCGACCTACAATGTACATGTACACAGAAACTCGAGAAATGCTACTCAATGGATGTGTGTGTAATGACGTGTATTCATATATTCAAATCCGTCCTCTTCTCTCTTCACTCTCTCTCTCTCTCTCTCTCTCTCTCTCTCTCTCTCTCTCTCTTTCTTTCTTTCTATTGTGCAAGAAGAACAAGACAAGAGAGAAAAGAATAGATAGATAGAAAGAAAGAAAGAAAAAAAGTCTAGTTTATACGGACGGCATAAAGGAGACCAACCAGGCAGGTCCTTGCTTGTCAACGACAACCAAAAACCCGTCATATCATATCATACTTTCTCCTTTCTCTCTCTTATTCTCATCTTCATCCCATTGCTCTCTATACAATACAGTCCACCACCACAGCTACCACCGCCATCATTCACGACATCGCATGTTCCCCGCCCAGATCTAATTCCCCATAATTCCCGTGTCACGCCAAACAAACAAGTCTAGAGGTAAAAAGGGACGAGACTTTCAGAGAGAAAAAAAAAAAGACAACAACACCACGCTCCCAGGGCAATTCTTGAAAAGTTCAAGAGTAGTATAAAAGTACAGGACAAACAAAAAAGGTCAACGGGCCTTGTTGCCGTCACATCTCCCGTGTATCTGTCCGCCCGTAAGAGACACAAGACGAAAACGAAGTCGACAAAAAGCTCTCAGCCGCGAACCGTGAACCGCGAACCACGGACCTCAGGTCCCTCCGCTATAACTGTAACCCCCAAACCATATACATGGCCATTTGCATTGTATGGTGGCCATTTTCGCATGCAAAGCAACGAAAAAAAAAAACACACAAAAGGAACTAAGACAGGACAGACAGAGGATGCAGTGCAAAGCGCAATGCGGAAGAAGGGGGTATCTGAGAGCGACAACGGGATGTTTAACGTGCATACTACCGCTTGGACACCAAAAAAAAACAGAGAGGTTACAAAGAAGAAGAGGGATGCAAGACAGACAGCATGCTCGCAGCGTGGCACAAAGTTATGCCCAGCATGGCGCGGAAAAGAAAATCGGGTTCATGTCATCAGGCCTCATCGACGCCATAGTGGTGGTGGTACAGGCTCCGAGACGGACGAAGAGGGGACCCCTTGGCTATACAGAGCACCAATATTGATATATATGTGACTCATCGAGGCGTGGTGCGGTGCGGTAAACTCCCAACAACCCCCCAGTCAGGCAGCAACACCAGTGCCAAAGTCGTTGATGAGACTGCTGAGGAGTACGGTGAACTTGGCGTGTAACTCGACAAAGAAGTTTTGGTTGCCTACAATGTCGGCCAAGCCTTTGGCGCGCATGACTTCGCGGCTGACTCGGGGATAGCCGTCGGGATCGACCTTTTTGGCGGACAGGAACGACGAGGCCGGGGTAAATCTGCGGGCGCTGTCGGCGTGTGGTGGTGGAGATGCAAAGGCCGGGTACGGATCAATGGGGGCAGTCTTGGATCCGGTGTTGCTGACGCGGTTACCCGATTCGGGTGTCTGTTGTGGCACAGCAGGCATAAGGCTTGCTGAGCTAGTGCTGCTGCTGCTGCTGCTGCTGCTGCTGTTGCTTAGCAATGGACTTGTGGGAGGCGGCTGTTGGATGGCGGTTGTTGGTCTCGAGACGGGTGAGTCACGCTCGAGCACGCGGTCGGCCATGGTGATGATTTGATTTGCTATGCTTTCAAAGTGTTCCAGCACCTTGACCAGGGCGGAGCTGACGCGCCTGCTGTCGCGGCCACCGAGCGCGATGAGGGCATATGTGCGTAAGCGGCCTCGCGCTCTCGGGTCTGGCAGTCGAAAGACGTATGCGATTGTATAACCGGAGGAGCAGTCGCCGAAGAATAAGGGACCAGATCGGGAATTCTTGGGGAGCGCCTCGCACGAGAATGTGCGGACGTAGGACCGCCGGAGGAGGGAGTATGCGGATGGCGAGATGGGCTGGCGGGTCGACATGTATATCAGCTTGTGTGCGTGGGTGTTGCGCGGGAGCGAAAGAGGCGATGTTGGCGTCGAGGACGTCACGCTTGACGGGGAGGATGACGAGTTGCTCAGATAAGACTTGGACTGCTCGTCGTCGTCGTCGTCGTCGTCGTCGTCGTCGTCTTCATCTGAATCGGGTGAAGGACCCCGGGCCAGGACAGACTGGCAAGAACGCAGCACCGGACTCCCATTTCTGCCTCGTCCATCTTTTGTCGGGCTACCCGGGGCACCCTCTGGCAGACGAGCACGGACATGCTCTGGCACGAGAAAGTCGCAGTTATCACAGCCATCGCCGTCGCTCCCCAGATTCTCGGTGAACCTAGTGACGGCAAAGCCATCGATGGTGGCTGGAAAGTATGGGTTGTTAAAGGAGCTCGAGGGGGTGCGAGGGCTCAGGGGCGGGGATTCGAAGGGTGAGGCCACACCGGACATGCGATGGGCAAGGCGGGTAGTGGGAGAGGAGGCGGAGGTGTCTGTCCATGTCGGATTCGTGGAATATGAGGATTGCGAGGGTTCTTCAGAGGGTGGGGTGAGGCAAGGATGGCAAGTCGCGCAGTTGCCCGGCACGATTTGAGTACATATGGTGGAGGTAGGACCACAAATCTCACAGAAGTGCGCCAGGGAGAGCTGTATGATGGCGGCGTCGTCAGTGAGTGATTGCAGGAGGTGGGATGTGGTGATTATGTAGATTTTGGGGAGGCAGCTTACTATGAAGTCCATCTTTCACCTGGAGCGTGACAAGCCAGTTATACAGCAGGCCGCATGTTTCTTTGTGAAGTGCGCGTAGTCGGATGGATTTGTGAGTAGAAGTGGCAGAGAGATGGAAAGAAGGGGTGAGGCAGAAGAGACGGAAATGATGAAGTAGTGGTGGTATAAAGAGAGAGAGAGAGAAGGAAGAAAAAGCAGAAGTGGGCGTTTGTCTAGTGGCGCAACGAAGTCGAGTTAGTGCTGAGACGAGCGGCGGGCCGGAGAACGGATGGTGGGAATTTTGGGGGGGGGGAAGGAGGCGGAAGTAAGTAGTGGTGGAGGATTAGTAGTAGGGCGGGCACAGTGATTGATATTGACGACGACGACGACGACGATATGGGGTCGGCGAATAAAAGGGCTTGTGCTTGTGCTTGGACTTGGGGCTTGGAAGTGAATATGTAGTATTATGTAGTGTAGTAGTAGGAGAAGGATGTACAGTATTAGGATTAGCAGCAGTTTCACTCACCGATCAGGGCTTGCAGGCCTGAACCCGGGAAGTTGGGAGCAAGACGGCAGAAGGCCACGCGAGCGAGTTGTCTGGAGAGCAGGCAAGCAGGTGATGTGCGGGAAAGTAAAAGTGATTTGCGTGGATATGAGGGTTAATTAGCAGGCGGCGTAGGAGTAGGAGTAGTTAATTAGTTGATTAGATTAATTTAGCTAGCTATTACTTCATAGTAGGAGTGACGATGATTGATGCAGGTGTTCCAGAAGGTCGAGCAGCGGCGTGTTGATCGCTTGGCGCGTCTTTTCGTCTTGTTATCCTATTATCGTCATGTGTAGATGTGCTGGGTGCGTGTTGAGAGCGTGTTGCCTGACTTGTGACTGGCTGGTGAGTGGTAATGATGGTCCAGGCAGTCCAGGCAGCAGCCAGAAGACAGAAGCCCCCGCCAGAAAGGAGTCAGAGCACGACCTGTTTCACTTGTGTCGCTGTAGTCGCTGTAGTAGTCATTTTGCACCGCCAGCTTGGCCATTCGAGCATGAGGAGCAGCAGCAGCAGCATGTGCGTGTGCGTGTGCTTCTGCCTGTGCGTGTGCGTGTGCAGTTGCATGTGCATGTGGATACAGCACATGGTAAGGTAGTATTCACAGCCAATATCATGCATCCTTCCAGCAGTCATAACTACTGTCTGTATCCACACAGTACTCCAAGTATCCTCCATGTATCCAAGCCGCGGATCCGGATCCCTTTCCCTCGGACTTTTATCTCTCGCATCCTCTATCTCTCCGTCGTCACCTCCGCTCATTTATTGCAGATCAACAACAACAGCTACCATCATTATCCCGCCCAACAACCATCACACATCATCATCATCATCACACATCATACTCTGCACCTCACCCCACATCCCCCCGATTCCCAGATCCCGGAACCAAAACTCAGGAACCCACCTCTTCTCCATCATCCATGTGAACGAAGGTGTCTGAGTCGGTGCGAATCCCGCTGCTCCTGTTGTCTCGTGCTCGTCGGGTCAACGTCCATCACCATCACCACCACGTTGCACCTTCCGCTTCAATATTCTCCTATCCTCTTCCTAACTTGTTCCCCCAAATCACACCACCGCTATTCCTTACAGGTACTAATTATTGCTTCAACCTCCTGCCTGAGCTTACTAATCTCTCCTCCTTCCTTTTCGCCAGCATCACACACACCCACCACTCGCTCTCAAGTTCTCAACCCTTGCTTCGGCCCTGCTTTGTCCTTGCTTTGTCCTTGCTTTGTCCTTGCTTTGTCCTGCGTGTCCTGCTTGTCCTGACTCCTGCTTGCTCCGACTCGGCACGTCACGACACGACACGGTACGACACGGTACTAATTAATTAACTATCCCATCTTGCCCGTCTCGAGGAATCTGATCTGATCTGATTTGCACTTGCACTTTTCCACATGGGGTCCTGGTCCTGGGCCTGACTACAGCCTACAGACTACACTACCCACGGCCACGTGAACGACCGGGGGAAGGGGACGGGGGAAGATGCACCTCCCACATCGTCTTTCTGTCTGCCATGCTGCATCACTGCTGCCTGACTGCCTGACTGACTACCTGCCTGACTGTCATTTGCACAGTAATTACCTAGTAATTAATTACCATCACGGCCATGACGCTGATACTCCCTATCCATCTTTATCAGTCTAACCACTCCCGACCAACACCACCATACACCTCTTCAACAACCTATGATCCTTCTTTCTTCTGTCCAACACTAATATCCCACGCAGCACTAACTACCGAATGCATTGCTGCCTCAGCTCATGTTACCCAGCTACCTCACTTTTGCCCTACCACCACTCTAATTACCACCTGACACTATAATCAGTGACTCAACTTGAAAAGTCAAGAAAACTCCGGAAAAAGAAGAAACTTTCAGACTGCGCGCCGCAGACGTACGTATCTAGTTGCATGTGTGTATGTATCGTATGCTATGCTATGCTATGCTATGCTATGCTATGCTATGCTATGTGTGTCACGACACACCCTCCATGCATACATGTAAGGTAGGTAGCTAGGTACGTAGGCAGGCACGTAGGTCGACAAAGAAAAAAGTCACAACAGCCGCTCTTGCCGCTGCCACTGAGTATGTATTCCTCCCCCCACCCCTCCGCGGCTTAATTATAAATCATCATCACCGGATTAATTCTTTTCTTTTTCTTCTTTCTTTTCTTTTTATTTTTCCCTTCCCTCTTGATCGAAAGTGCAGGCCAATTCCATCTTTCGTTCTGCGGACTGTGTGGACTGGACTGCAACACCAGCCAGCCAATGCGGTGCGCGTGTCTGTCCATGTGTCACGATGCTTGGAGTGGAGCGTTTCAGGACGGATGCACGTGGTGGATTATGCGGGTGTGCCTGAGGCAGGAGTGTACGTATCGTATCGTATACGTTACTGTGTGTGTGCAAGAACAATATACACCGTTCGACATGGTTCGATCGTGATGCTCTTCTGCTCTACCTACTGAACCTCGCCATGTAGCATCCATCCGCCTTGACAGACAGACAGACAGACAGACAGACAGACAGACAGACAGACAGACAGACAGACAGACAGACAGACAGACAGACAGACAGACAGACAGACACCAAGCCCTCACGCCTTCGGCACCACCTTGAGCGAAAAATCCACATGCCTCACCCCCTGATGAATACTACTCGTGCTCACCACATCCACATCCGCACACACAAACTCGCCAATATTCCCCTCCGTCAACCCGCCACTCACCTCCACCAACAAGCCCCTCCCCGTCCCCCGCGCAAACCTCTCCTTCAGTCTCGCCGCACACGCCCGCGCCCCCTCGGCACTAAAATTATCCAACATCACCACATCCGCGCCCGCCTCCGCCGCCTCAACAGCCTCCTCATAACTCCGACACTCGACCTCGACCTTAGTCGCGAACCCGCCCGCGCTCCTCGCCTTGCGCACCGCCGCCGCGATAGCCCCCCCCTGTCCCTCCCCAGACACAGCCCACACATGATTATCTTTCAGCATAGTCATATGGCTCAGATCAAGCCTGTGCGCGTCCGCCCCGCCAACAAGCATGCCGTACTTCTCCACGACCCGGAACCCGGGCGTCGTCTTGCGCGTGCCGGCGAGCGTGCCGGTGTAGCCGGCGGCGCGCAGCAGGGCGAGCGTGCGGGCTGTCTGGGACGCGATGCCGGAGCAGCGCGCGAGCGTGTTGAGCGCGACGCGTTCGCCGAGGAGGAGCTTGCGCATGGGGCCGCGGACGGTGGCGCAGTGCGTGGCGGGTGGGTGGATGGGCTGGCCTTCTTGGAGGTGCCAGGTCACGCTGTTTTGGGGAGGTGGGTTAATGGGGTTGTTTTGAGGGGGGTGCATGGGGGTGGGCTGGCTTACGTGCAGTCTAGTTGGCGGAAGACTTCGTTGAAGAAGGGGATGCCGGCGATGATGCCCTGTGGCTGTGTGTTAGTCGTGAGGGTATGATATAGAGCATCAGTCAGGGAACGTGGAAATGCATATCGCGGAATCACGTTCATCCCAAGCTCTTTTCTTCCCCCCCTCCCAAGACATCTTCAGCATCTTCCATACCCCAAACCGTGAAAACAACACAAGACCCCCCCAAACAAAGAAAACAACCCAAACCCACCTCGCTCTTCCCCAAAAGCCTCGCCTCCCCTACCTCCTCCCCGACCACAAACCCGCCATAGTCGAAGCTCGGCGCATCCTCCTCCAGCCAGCTCGCCACCATCCGCTTATACGTCGGCGGCAGCAGATGCGCTACCACGCCATGTGCCGGTGCGCCCTCCGTTACGACAGTGTCTTTGCTGTTGGTATTGGTATTGGTGGTGGTGGATGATGATGGTGTCGTCGTCGTCGTCATATCTCTTTCTTTTCTGTTGTTTTATAGTGTTGAGTTAATCGGGGAGTTGGATCAGTGAGTGAATGGAGAAGTTGTGTAATTATATCGGGTGTTTGCTGGGACGATGACGTTCGGGTGTAAGCGGATTTTATTACGCAGCATGAAATAAATGATCGCGGGCCGAACACCACCACTGGGCAGCTGTGCTTAGCCGAGTGCTGCTGCTGCCTCAGGCCACACGCCAAGCCTACTTTGCATACTATCATGAGGAGGTGGAGGGTCACCAGAGTCCAACATTCTGTGTGGTACAAGTCTACAAGTTACATAGGTGCTCTCTCAGCCTCGCGCAAGCCTACCCTCCACCCCCCCCTTCTGCGCCTACTACATCCACGTTCTGGCAGTCAGTCGCTCGCTATACAAACGCCCATGTCCATGCATTTTTGTCGCGAAAAGAAAAGAAATGAAAAGAAGAATATGCACACTGATAAAAGCATCAGATATCATACGAAACAACTCCCGCCCCCTCCCCCCTACACAAAGTGAACAAGACTGCTGTGTCGTATGTCCTATGTCCCATGTCCTATGCCCCCTCCTCACGTCGACGCCTTCCCCTTGCACACCGGACAGCCCTCCCTCACAACACTCCTGATAATATGTGCATGGGCAACCTTTGCGCCGACGCTGCGACTAGAAAACGAAATGTCGTCTGCATCGACCGATGCCGCTAGCCTCTGCTGCATGGCCTGGGCAGCCTCCGCCGTTGCAGAGCTCCCCGGGAGCTGGTCCAGAAGACAGGTCAAATGGTAGACATGGCCGCACGCAAAGCCAATCAACGTGTCCGTCTCGTTTTCCAGGAATATATCTCTGCAGCCCACGCAAGCGCCGGGCTTGTAGTCCTCCTCGTCCTCGAGTTCTTGCTTCGGCGCACCAGCGATGTTCATGGCGAGATATGCCTCTTCGACAGGCTCTGCGACAGGCGCGGGCTGGACGGTGATTTCGACTTCGGGCGGGTTCTTGTGTGCTACTTCAAATCGGACGCCGCGCTTCTGCCCGCTGCGCAGCGTCTCCATTGCAATGGACACTTCGCCCCTCAGGACCTTGGACACGCCTTCGCTGATGCTGTGCTGTACGCCGTATTCACGAATCATGCGGCCGATGCCTTCGCGCAGACCTTCAATCTCGAGTCCTTCCGGGATCCGACGAATGAGTTTGATCGGGTCGATGGCCGTGCCAACTTCTTCCAGCAGCGCTCTGATGAAGCGCGGTTTGTCCATCGAGTACGTCAGCAGGTCGTCCCATAGATCCGTGTCGTCCTGCTCTTTCACAAACGAGATTGCCAGGGACACGTCGCCAAGCTCGGAGATGATCAGGCGCAGAGCATCTTTTGTCTGGCCCATTTTTGACAGCAAATGACTATGCGCCCATTAGCCTCTCTCTCAAACTTAAGCGGGACGTTGGCAACTTACATTCTCTCAGGGACATATTTCCGCTGCTCACATATCCTCAACGCCTTGGTAAAATCATAGCTGTGTGACGCTTTGAGAAACTCCATCAGCAGTGGCCGATTGTACTCGGCGAAAAGATTCACGGCAAGATCACTAAAGTCCTCAATCAGACCCTTGCCTTCTTCCGTCATGTTCTGCCTGTCATCTCCAAAGTCTCTCATCGTCCCCTGCCCTTTCCATATGGCTTGGAGGTAGAAATAGAGGAAGAGCTGGTGTTTCATCCCCCCTTTCTTGAGCTGAGACACTACGTCTTCCGGCGACACGGTGCCCTGATATGCTTCGTCGACCAGCAGGCGAATTGCCTCGGACGAAATCTCCTCAAGCTCGTCGCGTGGCGCAGACTTCATCTGCTCCTTGGTCACCCTCAGTAGAATGAACCCGGGTATGTCATCCCTGATGGCGTCGAGTAGGTGATGATTCTCCTTCAGTAGTCCCATAACCGCGTCTGCGTCCTGCACGCGAATATAACAGTGCAGTGCATCTCTGGGCCGATTATCCGCCAGATACAATTTGGCAAGCATCTCTTGGAGTATTCTCCAGTCCCGCCCTTGCTCGCCATCTTCAATGGACTCCTCTGTAACGTCGCCCGCCTGAAGCCTGTTCTTGATCGAGCTTATCACGCTGGGAAGATCGAAGAGGTCTACGTCCCACGTATCAAGAAGTTCCTTCAGCCTTGACTTGTCGTGAACAATGTAATGACCGAGTATGAGCTCATAGGCATAGCTGGGAATAGGCGGCCTGATTGGGTGCACTGGCACGTACGGTGTAATGTCGTCGTAGTGACCAGACTGGCAGAACTTCAGGACCCAATGCTCCCATTTACCTGAATGCCCCAGAACGCGACCGGCTACCTTTCCAGCTTCGCTCCATCGCTGACTGGTAACGAGCTGTTGGACCCACAAGTCTCCAATCCGTCGCTTCTCCTTCTCGGCTGCCGAGTTCTGTGTCTTCGCGAGGGATGTGGTGGTCTGAGATGCCGAGTCGTCTGCGAAGAATTCCTGTAGACTACCCTGTGTTTGCGAAGGCGTGCTTGTTGGTGAATTCGGCTCGAATGAGCGGTCAGGCGTGTTGCTGATGATTTCTGGATGCTTTTCGAGGAGCTCCCAAGCTTCCTTGTAATTCTCGTGCTCAAGATCCCAATCTAAGCGATCTCCAAAGTCGCGTTTGACCGCCAGCACACAGTCATACGGACTTTGGAAGAAAATCTTCAGACCAGGTGTTGCTGCAGCCGGATAATCTATACGTTTTTGAGGCAACGCGTAGTTGGAATTGGGTCCCGAGCCTACGGACGTGGACGAGCGCACATTATCGCCACTGCCTGGGATACTGATTATGCTGGCGCCAGTACTGAAGAGGCGAGCTCCTTTGACTCCAACGTCCCATATACCACCACCAATGCTCTCCAATGCACTCCTTTGAGCAGCGGTAAGCGGTTTCGGTACAGGAACGTACAAAGAACTTAAATGGTAGTCTGCAGCGGACAGAGATTCAAAATTCCTGGCGTTCAAAGTGTCTACTTCCACTTCTTCCACCTCTTGCCCATGGCTGACGTCCAGGAGTCTCAGTTCAGGTTGCAGGCCATTCTGCCGGTGCTGTACACCTCGCTTCGGTGTGCCCTTGATTGTAACAGGAAGTGGATTGTCGTCGTCGTCTCGAGTGCGGTATGCTAGAACAGCGAGTAGAGAAGGAGTATATAGCGTCAGGCCCGCCACAATGCAGTCCTGAAACGACAAGCTGCTCCCATTAGCCTTTGACAACGCGCGTAGAGTAGTAAGATAGAGCCATACATCTGCATTATATCCGCACTTCCGACTTTTCTGTCCCCTCCGTCCTTTCCGACTGATGTACTGCCAGCGGTAACGGAGATGATCCACGCTGCATCGCCCCAGCCGACTACCAACCTCTCAGAACGCTTCTTTTTCTTGGTCTTGGTCTTGGGTGCTCGCGTGAGTCCAAGTAGAGACGTAACATCGTCCTTGCTCTCAGTATTGGATGTCCCATTTGCAGCTGGACTACTACCATCATCTAGTTCAAGGTGTTTCTCGTCGATCCATTGAGCGCGAGCTTTCCAGACTCCAGCCATATCCCTCCAAGCTTTGCGGTTGGGTTTTGGAATGAAGGCAACGCGCTTCCAGGCGTAATCTGAGTCTGCGCTCTCGAGGTGGAGGTTGGTCCTCATGATCCTCATACCTTCTTCGTTGGCCCATACCACAAACTTGCCAGACAGTGACCATTGAATAGTGCTAATAGCTCCTTCTCCAGAGTGTAAAATCACGTCTTTTCCTGTATTGCCACCAAGTCCAATTGAGCCGAGCCATCCCGAAGCTGCGGCTGCGGCACTGTTCGTATTTGCGTCAGCCTTATATCCAGTAGGTCCGCCGGACGTGAGGATCAGATTCCCAGCAAGTCCGCCGGAAAGGTATGTCCTATCGCTTTTATAATCCGGAGACAGTGCAACGGCTTGCACTGGGCGCGCAAAGTTTCGAAGTGTGTAGTCCTTTTCGTCGACCAGAGACATAACGCATACTGTACCATCTATTGAAGAAGTACCTATATAGATCTGATTTGAGGGTATTGAAGGTACCGGGGCTTGTCTAGGTTTTTGTGGGGATGCCTGAGAACCGGATGCAGAGGTTGGTGCTCTCGAGGGCACTCGCGGGCTCTCCGTCGCATTCCCAGCTTCTAACAAGCCCTGCACGGTAGGGAAATGAGGCGCCAATGGTGATATAGAGACTGATGTTATCGATGCCTGGTGAGCGCCATAGCTTCGCAGAGGTTGGAACGTCGGCAGTGATCGAACATGCTTGAAAAGAGATCAAAAGTGGCCCAGAGGAGCATAGAAATCGGGAACTTACGACTTTGCCATTGTGTGTACCCATTATCTACCCATTGTCAGTAGAAGTTCAAGTCTTGTCGCAAATACCCTACCATCTTGTCTCCTCCAACTATGGTTGCACTAGTTGCATCACCGCCTCTGTATACTGAGCCTAAGCTTCCAGTAACAGGCGTATACTTCAGAGTAGGCTCTCCTTCCTCTTCGTCCTCTTCCTCCTCTTCGCTCTCTTCCAACTCCTCCTCTGTATGGCGTCCATTCTCTGGGGTTGAGGGTTCAGCCTGGTCGGTACGTCGAGCTTTGCGGGTCGGAGTAGTTGGAGCCGTCTCCTCGTCGCGCTCGGTGGATTCCGCAGCCATGCTGGATACATGAGCTGCGGGTTGTAGCGCGAGAGCTCAAGAATTATGCGGAACACAGCGCATCTGTTGTAGCGCGCGCCAGCAGCTCCAGGTCGTGTTGTTGATTGACGTTGAAGCCTGCGAGCCGGTTCGAGACGTCACACTTAGACTCAAGCCATCCATTGGCTGAAGCTTAAGCTTACCCGCAGCTGTGCCTGACGTTTCTCAGAAGACTTTCGCAAGAACAGTTAACATATCACTCTCACAGAATATACAGTTCTTATATTGGTGAGCCGCTGCAAACACTGTGTGCTATATGCACATCTGCATATATATCGGCGAGTGTTATCATACCGATTGGAGCATTCCCAGCCACTTCGGCTCAGACAGCGCATCGTTTGCCAAGCTGTTGAAGCACGGCCATTAGGTAGATACCTGGTCTGGTCAAAGAACCTGGCAGACTCTGCATAATAAGCATACATTATCTCGAGTCGACATACTCTAAGCAGCAGCAGATGCTACACACGACCAAACACCAATCATCCTGGCGATGTTTTCACTTCGCCCTCATGGAATTCTACATCTAGTGCGGTCGACGACATCCATTAGTTCCAGACCTGCTTCTTTCAAGCCGCGAGCGTTGTACATTCGACGTCAAGCCTCACCGCAGAGTGCATTCTCCACAACGTATCCACAGTGGAAAGGAGAATCGCAGAAAGAGCAGGTTCATAGTACTGGCGACTCAGAGCAGTCCAAGGGCAAGCCAAAGGCACGCAAAGTTACGCAAGCCACCTCATCTCTCCGCAGCCCTGCTGTAGCAGCGGCGAATCGTCTACGACATGGCTATATAAGCAAGCGAGGAAACACAAGATACATTGACCCGGATGTGGAGACAAAACAGGTGAATGCGTATTGTGCTACTGAAAAATACAACCTCTCCGTCGTTGTGAGGCTACTTCAGAGGGAAGGATACACTCTCGATCCCTACCAAACAGGACTCCACAGAGAAGTCGTGCACTTTCGCATGACATATTTCTTGTCGCACGTGCCTGGTGAAAGTGGCAAGGAACCGACTGATATTGGTGATGTTTTCATCTTTCCCTCCGGTACAGTCGTCACCTGGAACATCCCTACTCGCGAGGGCCGATTGTTCGTCGAATCCAAGCTCTCCTCGGCCATAGACAAGAGACTCCCGTCCGTACCCATGGAGACTGAAGAGTTCAATTATCTCGAAGACCCCAGCCGCGAAAATAGCACTATTGTCGGCGACACCATACTTCTCGGCACGAAACCACCAGCCCAACCTGCTGACACTCCACTGAGCGCCGACGAGATTGCCCTCGCAAGCGAAACTGACACCACGCTCGCCAAGATCGCATACTCGTCTGGTCTTGCGCGTTCGACTAAGCTTGCCGTGCTGGAGAATCAGCTTGACACTGCGTTTGACGATACCCGGCCCATCATTGCAAAATTGTCGGAAGGAACTAAATTACCTTTCACGCGCAAGTTCATCATCGCCAAGATTGGCGACATTCTCAATCTGCGTGCGCAACTGAATCTATACTCGGACTTGACAGATCCTCTCCCCGACTACTTCTGGGATAGTCGACATGATCTAGGACTCGAGCGGTACTATCATGACATTGGACACGCACTGGACATCAATGATCGCATCGAGCTGCTGAACAAAAAGATCAACTACACGCAAGAAATTGCTGGAATCTTGCGAGAGCAACTGAGCGAGAGACATGGCATACGTCTGGAGTGGACGATAATCATCCTGATTACCATTGAAGTATTCTTCGAGCTGTACAGAATGTACAAGGAATATAGGGAGAGTCATGACCTAAAGAGTACAGAAAACATGCTGCGAAGATATCTGGAGACTGCTGGAGACGGACTGGACGAGTGGGAGAAGAATGGCAGAATCAACTGAGCGATACCATGTGTGCATCTTGAATCCGATACCCTGTTTCTGTATATTTACAAATTCTGCTGCCGTCATACGAACCTTGAACTTTCCGGTGCTACGAAATTCGCAAGGCGAAATAATCCGACCAATCAGCGCCGTTGTGATCAAATGCGTCGGCGCCATCGGCTCTGTGCCATGCACTAATACCCCAGGATTCCCCAGACCTCGGCAAATACCATTCTCATAACCTAGCCAGCCATGAGAAATGCATTTGAAACCTTTTGTAGTTTCGAATCCTTGCTGAGCCATCAGGTCCGTGATATCGTTGTCGTTGCATCTTTGACTCTACTGTATATCTAATATCCCGATACGACAACGACTACTACTCGCATTCCCGTATTCACCATTAATTATGGCTCCCGCACCCCTCACCCGCGAGTCCGTCTCCGCACATGACAAGCCGGACGACCTATGGTGCATTATCGACCACAAAGTCTACGACCTGACCGATTTTGTCGACGCACACCCCGGCGGTAACATCGTGCTCGAGCAAGTCGCCGGACAGGACGCCACGGACGCATTCTACAATCTGCACAAACACGAGGTGCTCACGAAGTACTCCTCGCTGTGCATCGGCACGCTGCAAAATGAGGCTGCAGAAGTGATTACCATGGCGCCTGGAGACTTGTCTCAAGTACCGTACGGCGAGCCGCTGTGGCTGCGGCCGCAGTTCAAGAGTCCGTATTTCAAGGAGAGTCATCACAAATTGCGGAAGGGGATGAGGGAGTTTGTGGATAGTACGGTTTGGCCAGAGGCGCAGGAGAAGGAGTTGAGTGGCGAGTATATCAGTCAAGAGCTCATCGACAAGATGGCCGCGAACGGCATACTGGCCATGCGATTGGGCCCTGGGAAGCATCTCCACGGGCGCACGTTGCCTGGCGGAGTCAAGGGCGAGGAATTTGACTATCTTCACGACCTCGTCACGGCGCAGGAGTTGGTCCGTGCGAATGCTAGAGGATTCATGGACGGAAATTTAGCAGGTATGACCATCTCGCTGACGGCGGTGAGGGAGTGGGCACGAGATGAGGCGTTGAAGGATAGGATAACAGAGGAGGTTTTGAGTGGAAAGAAGAAGATTTGTTTGGCGATCACGGAGGCGTTTGCCGGGAGCGATGTTGCGGGGCTGCGGACGACGGCGAGGAAGAGTGAAGACGGGAAGCATTGGATCGTGTCCGGGACGAAGAAGTGGATTACCAAGTATGGGAACCTAGTTGCAAATGTTGTGGGTGGACGAAGTGCTGACGTGTCGACAGTGGAATGTTCTCTGACTACTTTGTTACTGGTTGTAAGACAAAGAAAGGGTTCTCAGTCATCATCGTTCCCAGGGGCGAAGGTGTGGAGACGAGTCCGATTAAGACGGCTTACTCTGCTGCTGCTGCTACCACGTTCGTCCAGTTCGATAACGTCAAGGTGCCTATAAATCATCTGCTGGGTGAGGAAGACCAAGGCTTCAAGGTTATCAGTAAGTCCCGGCAACCCTTACCTCTCGTGCAAGGTTGCTGACAAGCTGACAGTGAGCAATTTCAATCACGAGCGTTTCATGATGGCTTGCCTGACCGCTAGACAACTCCGAATGGTAACTGAGGATTGTATGAAGTGGGCCAATCAGCGCATAGTCTTTGGCAAGAAGCTGATCGAGAATGCCGTTATCAGGCAAAAGTAAGTCTTGCATACCTTGCCAATACCATTTGACTGACGTATGTTCAGGCTCGCAAAGATGATTGCTCATGTGGAGAGTGGCCAATCGTGGTTGGAGTCGATTACTTATCAGATGTGCAACATGAGCTACAAAGATCAGGCTATTCACCTATCAGGTCCCATCGGCTTGCTCAAGTTTCACTTGACGCGCAGCGCCAACATGATTGCCGATGAAGCTACCAACATCTTCGGAGGCCGCGGCATCACACAAACTGGTATGGGACGTCACGTTGAAATGTTCAACCGGACATATAAGTTCGATGCCATTCTCGGTGGAACAGAGGAGATTCTTGCGGATCTGGGCGTAAGACAGGCCATGAAAAGCTTTCCCAAAGCCATGCTGTAAGGAGATCTTTGGCTAGATTCGTGTCGATATTTCTTCCCACATTAGAATTGTATAATTTACCACAGCTCTCCGTTCCGAGTTGTACCGGAGCAAGGTCAAGAAATCGACTTTGGGCACCTGAGGCAGTCATTAGGACAGAGTCCCGATTCTGGGGCACGTGACGTTGGAATAAAGCTTTCTGCGACAAACACAGCAGTAGACCGGAGATTGGCTGGGCGTGAATGGCTTTGTGTCTTTGTAGCAAGCGTATCGCGTGTGAGGAGAGCACAGAACACCAGTTGATTGATCGTCGCCTGCGAGGGTTCTCCCAACCATGACAGCTCGGGGCTCCCGGAACGGCGTACTGGCGACGACCAAAGTTGTCGGTGTATCCATCCACGGGCGTGTCGATCGGAGAATTAATGTAACCTTCACTTCTTCAACTTCCAATGCCTCGGACCTTGTTAATCCCCTAAATGTGAACCAGAACCAGAGGGGAGACTTTGTGTGGCGATGGGCGATCAACGGATCGGGTACCCGTTCCCAGTCTCACTCGCAGCGGTGAATTTGTTGAGACATTGCCTGCGTTGCGTTTCGTCGGCTGTCACAATGTGTGTCTCCTTCAGTTACATGCTACATACTACCGCGCCGTCGATATCGATGTCGATGTCGTGCCTCTTGTCGTTGTCGTCTACAGAGAGACAGGTGATAGTGATCCCACTTGGAAGAAATGGATCCCGGCTGGCTGCGGTACCTAACCTCATGTGGGGATAGTTCCTGTATGGTCTTACAACGGAGCGGCTCCCTGCGTCGACATGGATCGGACTCTCGAGTCTCGATCAATACTCGCCCTTTCCCGTTCCTATATCGATATCGTTCAAGCCGCCGCGGTAAAAGATCGTTATGGGCCCGGGAAACTTTGCAACTTGGAAAAACGCCGACGCGAAACAGAGTTTGAGCGAACTTTCGAATAGCATGGTCCGTTCCGAAGCGATTGTCTTGTGCCTGAGACGGTAGAACCTCGCAGAAGGCTCCTGGCTCTAGCTCTGGCTCTGGCTCTCCCTGGCTCGGCAGGGTGAAGTCCGGAGCTTAGCATATGAGGACTGAATGAGGCGCCATAATCGTCATCTAGCATTAGATCTAGACGGACCGACACCGATGTATCTGGTGTTGTGTGATGTGTTCTGTGACGGGGACTCGTATAATTCGGTGATGTGTACATACATGGGAGGGTGATGGCATAGAGATGCAGAAATGCCAGAAGCAGACGGTGATGAGATCCATGGGAATGCAATGCCTCATCCATGCTCATGCTTCCGCTTCAGCCACTCCCAGCACCTCGCCCAGCGCATCCAGGATTCCAGGTCCCCCATCCGTCCCTAACCCTGGAAGCGCCAGAGAGTCAAAGAGTCAAACCTCAGAAGGTATCACGAGGGACCGATCTAGCACATCTCGCACATCTAGCATGCCCCTTCACAATCTTGAGCCCTGATAGATCCATGTTTCCGCAATAGTCACGACACGTAACCACTTCGCTGTGCTCCGTCCTTGCCTAGTTAGCCTCCAATACACTCCACCTGCACCAGTCCACAGTTCACAGTCCACCTTAATTACTCAGTCAAAGTGTCAGTCACCACCTGAGCCTGGTCGTCGTCGTCCCTTATCCGCCACCACTTATAACCACTCGCTCGCCGCTTGCTCTCGTGCGCCGCCCCCGACTCTCTACACACCTCCTGCCTACCATTACACTACTTACCTCACTATCTATCTACCTACGCTATCTATCTCCGTCATCACCTGCGCCTCGGCTTTAACATCTACCGGCCTCTTATCTGCAACATCTGCTTCAACTCCCTGTCCTTCTCTTTCGTCCTCCTCGCCGTCGTCGTCATCGTCGTCTTTCCGAACCCAGCTCAACTACACTCAACCCAGACTCTTCAAGATGCACTCCTTCTCCAGGTCCAATTCCATCACATCGCTCTCCTCGGCATGCTCGGATATGGATGACACCATGCAGATCTTCGTCAAGACCATCACTGGTGACAGTACGCCATTCTAGACCTTGCCATCTCTTGCAGCAACTAACAGCACTACAGCGTTGCCAATCACCGTACCTTCGTCAACATCAATCTCGACGCTTCGTCAACTTATCGCACTGCGAACAAACCTCCCAGCGCAAGACCTCCGCCTCGTGCACGCCGGCAAGCACCTGATAACATCCGCCAAGTCAGACCCAAGCTTAGCAGAGTGCTCAATAACTCGGGATTCAACGTTACACCTTGCGATGCCTTTGCGCGGCGGAGCGCCAAAGAAGATCCGGTGCTCGTTCAAGGAGTGCAAAGACGCTGCCCAACGGATAGTCGGCGATTGCGGCTTTTGCTCCGGGCACTTTTGCGGCAGGCACCGGCTGCTGGAGGACCACAAATGTTCTGGTCTGGAAGACTGCAAGAAGGAATGCCATCAACAAAATGCCGATAAGCTCAATTCCGAGAGGACCGTTGCCATAAAGGGCGTTTAAATACACGGTTATGCTGTGGCATATCGTGCCGCGCTGCGAACGAATCTTTTTCCATATACGTTGACTGTCGGCGCATTGAGCAGTTGGGTTTCTGCAAGTCTCTAGCGATTTTGCTTGCTTGCTCGCATTTGGGTTCGCCTTGGAGTTTGTTTTGCGATTCGCCTGCCGTCAACCAGGCGTCCGTTTTTATCGCAACTTTAGACAGTCTTGTTATGTATCTCCTACCACGATAATCTCCAATGCACGTGCCTCAGGCGCAACTTGAACATTCACGATCCCCATACTTTCACTTCTTTACAGTGCGTTAATTTCGGTGTCTACATGCATTGTGAACACCTTACATGGAGCGTGTAATTACTGTAGTTTGCTTGCAACATTCAACAAGCTCACAAAGATCAGCTTCACACCACCAATGCACTCGCTCAAGAACATGAGTGTGATTCACACTCTCAATGAAACAACGTCATCCGCGCACTGATTGACGCTGTCTTGTTCTTCGTCACCGAGCTTCTCAACACGGTCAGATAGAGAGTCATGCATGTGGTGTCCGGACATCATTAACAAGAACAACACCTAGCGTCGACTTTCATATCCTCTCGCTATTATGCTATTTGATACAGACAGAGCAATATCTAGTCTACGTAAGGGTGCGGCCTCTATGGAGTGCTGGCCACGTGTAATGGAAGAATACAGTGTGCTTCATGTCCTCGCCCTATACATGCTTCAGGACTCTAACCTTATATCTGTTCACAATGATGATGCATATCATCGCACGCATATAACAAGCACTATCATCGATTAGATGTGTACAACACAAGCTTGCCTGGACAAGGTAGCAGATCGCACATGCTAGATCTTTCTTCCAGTCCAGACCGCGTACATGACTTGATCAGGAAGGTAGAGTTAACACCTGAATTGTGCTTTGGTTTTGGCTCAATCAATCACTCTGTGTGTATTGAACAGAAGAGGATATAGGAGATTGATGTGTGTTTGTATATGTGTGCTGGAACTGTAGGGTAAGTTGTTATCTCACTGCGTTTCCGTCTTAAAGGTGTGTTGGTTAGGACTATTCACTGGCGCTGCTCTTAGTAGATATAGCGTTTTGTAGATAAGCTGTCTCAGTGTACGAATAGAGCAGAACAATTGCCTTGGTTCCGGTGCTCTCCCTTGTCACGCGATGGTGATGGTCTTCGTTATGGTCTTTAGTCCTCACAGACAGCCATTTGCGGTTAGGATGACAAAGGAGCGAGACATATTTCGAGATTTGCGTAGGTTTCGCGCAAGACGCATGTTCAAGCATTTCTTCAGCAATTATATGAGAGTGTCAAGAAGTATAGGAAGAATAGGAAAATGATGAGAGCAGAGGCGGTTATATGGGTTTTCAGAAGTGCCTGCCGGGTAAGATACCTGGTCGATGCTTTGCCGGGCATTGATGATGTGACCTTTCTGCAGGGCGAGGTTGTTGTATGTTGCCACTGACTGCCAACCCAACAAGCGCGTCTTCACTCCCGTGTCACAGAACTTTCCTAGAAGCCCAGTCATCGGACGTAGACCCTGAAGATGAACCCGACAGTCTCCTCAAAGTGGTGATGCACATGACTGTCTCGCATCGTTGATGATGATCATTATTGATGATATTTCGGCACGAATCCTGATTCCAAAGCAGACGCGAACACAAGACACACTATCGGATCTTCTCTACCGTGGTACGCATCGAAATCTGATGCATACGGTCTTTGGTTGGCTGAAAAGTCCTAGAGGAATGGAGAAGGAGAAGGGGAGGAAAAGGGGAGGAAAAGGGGAGTTGAAATAAGAGGCCGATATATGTAAGATAACAGGCTTGCCGGGTAAGTGGTGTCAATATGTCACTACGCTGGTCTTGTCACTGTGAATGTGATCTGGATGGGTCATGGCTCATGGGAGAGAGCTGCTAGAGTAAGACGTCAACGTGTAAGTCCACCAACACCGCGCTTGATGCTGAACATAATCATGCAGTGAATGCCAGATACAGTGTGCATCATGCGTCTCATGCGTTGACGGCTCTCTTTATCAACCAAGAGAGACTTCGATGAGTATCACGCGAGGACACCCATGGTACTCATCATTACCGCAACAGCATATTGATCCGTCAACCAATCATTCCTCATACAGAGAAATCATCACAAGCAGTGGACGCAGACATTGCGGAAGGCCATGTAGAGTGCCCGTATATATATGCAATGACGACACCTCTCGGGTAAGGGGTAGATATTGACTCTGCCAAAGTGTCCCCATACTGCGGCGCAGCCGCATGAATTCTGACGCTGCGCTGAGTGATCGGGACAATAGGTGTTCAAGGAGAACATGGTAGATCCATATTTTGATACACAACGCGCAGAATGATTCTATAACCGCGTAGGACTTCAATTTGCAATGGGATCGCGGTGGGTGAGAAAGAAAGGTTCCAATGCCGTAAGCCTCAACTTTTATATCTGGGTCTAGGTGTCGCCGGGTAGATCTTGTTGCCTTAATATCGTGTGGCGGGTAGCTGCTGTGCTGGGGAGAAGTGCATTCACTGACGTATATACTTGTGAGCCCAGCAGACTTCTCTATAAAAGCTGATTGATATCTGAGGTTAAGCCCCTCTCTTCACTCTCAGCATTATACTCGACAATAAGGTCGGCCGCCGGGTACATGGTTGTTGACGCCTCAAAAGCATTGAATGTATGATTTACGTCCCTCTGGACTAGCAGCTAGCGTGTTGTGCTTCTTCGGAAGGTTTCTATATCTGAAATCTTGCGATGCTATGTTGATGTGATAAAAGTCATCGTCAGCACACGACAATAATGACAATCACTGTCTGCTCATGCAAACGTCATCATGGGCACTTTTGCAATTTCTCTTTTTGTAGAGGATGAATCTGCTGTGCGCCGCAAGAGATCAATACGTGCACGCAGTCGATCAGAGAAGCATAATGGTCTGATATCTGTCGCCTGTAGAGTTGGAATATGATTGACTTTGCTGGCAGTGGTGATCAGGAGTTTCGAAGCAGAATGAGTCCGATCTTTTGTAAGTGAGCCCGGAGTGTCCGGGTAGGTCACGTAGGCGTGTTTCTCTCGTATTCTGTTGGGTCATTGTTAAAGAGAGATATCGCATCCCTGTACAAATTGGGTGATAATGCAGCACGCCTCTGCTTGAGATATGTACGACGAGAGTGTTCGCTTTTGACTGAGCAAGGGTAACAGCGCAGACATATGCGGTAAGGCTTTGTAAATATCCACAACGTTGGGCTTGTCCGACACCTGACAGAAAAGCCTTGATGTTAATGACGCTACGAGGACTACAGATTCGTTGAAAATTGCTTGATGTGTCCAAGAGGGAAGATAGATGAGAACGACCTAACCTGGATAGATGATCGACAGGACTCCGATACAATGACGTCGGTAGTAAGCTTTATTATTACTATGTATGACTGGAGAAATATCTCAGATCATAGACAAAAGTATGGAAAAAATGAGAGAGGACATGGCAACTATGGTCGAGATAAAACTTGATCAATACTGCTATGAGATCTTTTGTAACCTTGTACATTTTGAGCCGAGTTGGTGGACACGCTTAAAACCTTCTGTTTTCATATATGAATGAGCTTCATCGAGTTCAATGGCATCATTTCTACCGCGCTACTTGATGACGATCGTCTCGTCCGATGAGCTTGGGTTTCGTTAGAGTCGTTCGAATCTAATAAGCTGAGTAAGAGATTTATATGAAGTTTAAGAACTAAATAAGATGATACGTCGATGTGAAGAGTAAGTTCGACGTTGAAACCTGCACAAACCCTTAGGATTGTACTGCGCTAGACCGTAAATGGCAGCATATCCTAACCCAATTCATCTAGTTTATGCTAGTCTGTGCTCTGTCATCCATGACGCACCCGGACGCGACCGCGACACGCATACCATCGTCAGGAATTCGATGTGAGATGTTTGGTCAAAGCAGTAATGAGTAGTCCAGCGAAGAAGAGAAAGAAGAAAGATGATGCCGAACCAAAGCCCCAGGTCAGAAGTCTCGACTACTTCTTCGGAAAGCAAAGATCCCTTCCTGCAAATGATGTGCAAAGGTCAAGGGACGAAGGTGGCATGACTGGCGGCTTCGAAACATTGGTTAATGAAGAACGGAATCAGTCGGTCATAGAGGACGCCAACCACGAAGAGCTGACGGACGAGCAGCTTGCACGGAAGCTGCAAGAGGAATTCGATCGCGAGAATCAGACCGAACAGCGCGCACAAAACGCTGATGCGCCTTCATATCCCCTTGATGACACCACATCTAGCACGATTGATGGTATGGACGATAAAAAATCACCACAGGAGGTCGCAAAGCAATCATTTTCATTCCGACCAGGGGCAACGGCAAAACAAACATTGTCGCTACAATCAGCAAGCGCAACAGAGGACACGATCACGAACACCATTCCCTTTGATGAAAGTCCATTGATTTTTGAGCCCTCAAAGTATGTGCCCCAGTTGAAAGATCTTTGGGCTCCAGAGAATGGCAGTGCCACCTATGCTCTCTTGACAAGGTGTTTTATCTTGGTCAACAGCACGCAGAGTCGCATCAAGATTGTTGATACCCTTGTAAATCTCCTCAGAACCATTATTGTGGGAGATCCGGAAAGCTTGCTACCTGCTGTTTGGCTAGCAACCAATTCTATCTCACCGCCTTATATCGACTTGGAGCTTGGACTCGGCGGCTCTGCGATCTCCAAAGCTCTGAAAAAGGTCTGCGGCCTGGACAATACAAGTCTTAAATCGCTGTACAATAAGCATGGAGATGCTGGTGATGTCGCTTTCGAAGCCAAGAAAAGACAAACCTTCACACTGCGCAAGCCAAAACCTCTCACTATCAAGATTGTCTTCGAATGTCTTGTCAAAATCGCCAACAGCAGAGGAACTGGAAGTCAAGAAGTCAAGCAGCGTATCGTCGAAAGGTTAGTTCAAGATGCACGAGGTGCAGAGGAAAGTCGATACATAGTACGGACTCTGGTTCAGCACCTTCGAATTGGTGCTGTCAAGACCACCATGCTCATCGCTTTGTCCAGAGCGTTCCTGCTCTCGAGACCACCAACAGCTGACTTTAAAATTGAATCAGCGGAAAGACTACGGAAGCTGAGGAAGGAAGACTTGACGCCTATCTATACCCACGCAGAGGAAATTGTTAAGGCAAGCTTTGCGAGAAGACCCAACTACAACGACCTCATACCAACATTACTTGATATTGGCGTGACGGAAGAGCTGCTCCTCAGATGTGGGCTAGCAATGCATATTCCGCTCCGGCCAATGTTGGGCTCGATTACTAGAGACCTCCAAGAAATGCTCGTCAAGTTACAGGGGCGTGATTTTGCTTGTGAGTACAAGTATGACGGCCAGAGAGCTCAGGTACATTGCGACAAAGAAGGCAAAGTCACGATCTTCTCCCGACATCTAGAGGTAATGACAGATAAGTACCCAGATCTAGTGTGCTTGGTACCTAAGATTCGCGGCGAGGGGGTGGAGAGTTTCATCCTCGAGGGGGAAGTTGTAGCCCTAGATAGGGACACTGGAGAGCTCAAGGCTTTTCAGACACTCGCCAATCGAGCGCGTAAAGATGTTTTGATTGGCAACGTCACGATTGATGTCTGCCTGTTCTCTTTCGACTTAATGTATTTGAACGGACAAGAACTAACAGATCGACCTTTCCGGGAGCGGAGAGAACTACTACGAAGCCTGTTCATTGAGATTCCGCATCACTTCACATGGGTCAAAAGTATGGACGCCACCTCGACCGACTCGGAGGCTGTCCTTGAGTTCTTCAAAAGTGCACTTGAATACAAGTGCGAGGGGATCATGGTCAAAGTTCTTGACAACGTAGTCAATCCGGATCTCGCCGTATCAGGCGTGGATGACGATGGACTAGAGGCAGACGCAGAAGCCCCCAGAACGCCCTCAAAAAAACGGAAGAAGGCGGATCCTAAGACTCAAGCCAATGCAAGCAAAGATGAGAAGCAGAAAGGACGCCGAAAAGCGCTTCTGTCAACCTATGAACCGGACAAGAGGCTTGATTCGTGGCTCAAAGTGAAGAAGGACTACGATAGCGCTGCAGCCGACACTCTCGATCTGATCCCAATCGCTGGCTGGTATGGCCAAGGAAGGAAGAACAAATGGTGGTCACCAATACTTCTCGCCGTGCGCAATCCAGAGACAGGCAACTTGCAAGCCGTCACCAAATGCATTAGTGGCTTTACAGACAAGTTCTATCAAGAGAACAGAAAGAAATACGATCCAGACGTCAGCTTCAGTGACGACGAGGATGGAGAAGATGCAGATGGAGTTGTCCGGAAGAACAACACACTGCCGTCAAAGCCGTCTTACGTTGAATACTTTGGTAGCCCTGACGTGTGGTTCAATCCCCAAGAGGTATGGGAGATGGCTTTTGCAGACATCACTCTGAGTCCAGTATATCCGGCCGCTATCGGCCTGGTCAACGAAGACCGTGGCCTGAGTCTGCGATTTCCGCGCTTCCTCAAAGTCAGAGAGGACAAGGGCATCGAAGAGGCTAGCGATGCGGACTTCCTCGCCAGTCTCTGGCGCAAGCAAGAAGCAAAGGGAAAAACAGAAGCTGTCGCCAGGGACGGTAATTCTGGAAGAGATACAGCCGAATACGACGACTGAGTTCGCTCTCAACGTTGTTGCGGTCATGGACGCTGTGCCACTGCCCGATGAACTTGCGCAGTGTCCAGTTGTTGTTGTGAGGCATCACATGCCCGTACACATGAAGCCTCGGAAAGTCTGACCTGGACACCGAACGCGCTAGCTTCAATAGCCGCAACGGGTTTCTTATTTTCCTATGATCCGCCACGTTGGGCTGGGAAACGTGTCGAGATGGGAAACCCCGTTGCGCTAGACGTGGCGTCTGATCATGCCTGCAAGGTGATGGTCATGGGCCAGACTTGGGTCTGTATTCAGTCATGCATCCGTCTGCATGCTAACGAGCTCATTTACCTTGAAGTGTTCAATTCCTCTGTCGCATCAGTTCGATGGCTCTCTTCGACCTTGTGGACCGTGTAATAGATCAATGAAATATCTTGAATGGTTGAATTGGATACTGGATGGTTCAAAATGTGGATTGGGCGACTTTAGACTCAGTGAACTAAGGCAACTTGGAGGAGATTGCTAACCAGGGAGCCACTTCCTGAGAATCTCAGCATGCATATCGAAAAGAGCAAGTCACACAAATACTTACTTTCGATTACAACTACGTAACAACGCATGACATGCGAAAGCACAAGTTTACAGCGCTTGGCTTCAATAACGGACCCAGATGTAGAGACACAATCCCTTTTCTCAATAATTATGATACATGTCATCTCGGCTTAGATCTAGTACTCCCACCATTGCAGGCAATTTAACCTCACCCAGAACCCAGGCTTCAGGAATCGCATATTCAACCTCAATAGATTCGATTAGTTGAATCACCAATCACGTTCCAGCCCGTCCAATTGCTTCAGTAATGGCTGTATCAAATGCCATTGCGCCTTTCCCTTCAGGGCTTGCCGGGTGGCCCCAACCGAAAGACGGGGGCTAGCGCGGTACTGCGAGCCGAGATGTGGAGAGTAAGCGTAGATCTGGGGAAAATCCTGGGCATAACCCTGGTGGCACTAATGCAGGACCCCGCCTGGTTTGGCTTGTGTTATGTAAAAGACATCTTGGTGGGCAGCGGAAAGTTTGTTAGTATAGGGAAATATTGGACGGCGGAAGGAGTAACCACGACTTAGCACCGCAGGAAATAAGGAAGAAGAGGAAGAGGATGTCAATGTCAACTGTTTATGTATTGCCAAAATAAGGAAAGCTGTGTTGGCTATGTACATGTGTGGTGCTATACCGCCATTGTCCAATATCGTCCTTCAGATAAATCATCAAATCAGATTTTTATGTAGTCTGGCATTATTCGTAGCGAAGGGGCAATCTATGCCTTGAAGTCGCGAGCAGCGCGGCGAGCAACATCCGCGTAGCCGTCAACACCGCGCTGGATAGCCTCGTTCAGCTTGTCGATCTTCTGCTGGGCGAGATTCTGCGCAGAGCTGGGAACCTTGCTCTTGATGGTAGAACCAAGGGTGTTGGCGGCGGACTTGAGGTCGTTGAAGCCCTTCTTGACCTTGCCAGCATCACCAGCGGCAACAAAGGCAGACTTCTTGTTGAGAGCGGAATCGACGGAGGCATTGACAACGTCGGTGAGGTCGTCGACCTGGTTGCCGATCTGGTAGGCCTGGGCGAGGGTGACGGAGGAGGAGGCGGCGACCTTGGAGTTGCCGGTGTTGATGGAGTTGAGGAGCGCGTCTTGGGCGTTCTGCACAGAGGCAGTTTGGCCAGTGCCTTGGTAGGCGTCGATGGCGGACTTTAGGGAGCTGGTCTTGCTCTGGACGTCAGAGATGACGCCTGAGATGGTGGCATAGTCGCGCTGGACGAGGGAGGCCTTGCGCTCAACGGGGGATGGGGAAGAGGCGAAGGCAGCTCCGAGGAGGAAGAAGGGAATGAGTTGAGTGATCTGCATTTTGACTGATGAAGACGAGCCGTTGGTAGTTGCGAGTGGTATTGAGAGTGGTGATGCTTGGAAGTCTGTCTGAATGTGCTTGATGCTGTGGAAATGGAGAGGGTCAGGCCCCCTTTTATATCTGAAAGTCAGGACTCCCACGTGAAATTCCAGATATATTTCATAGTCGATCAAGGGAACTGACTCGACCGTCTTGACCCAAATGGGGAGTTGGTATACGTCTCGCGAAGTTGATGGATAATGGCGTATGTCGCCGCCAGTCGCGGACCTGTTGTTGTCGCAGCTTTTGGACTGCATTTGGCAGCCAATAACCTTACATTGTGGGGAATCCCTGCCTCGGTATTACCACTACCCTTCCAAGGAACTGAATCTGATGGATGTGTTCGTAGCACCATTGGACGACAATATTCTCTAGGTGTCGGTGGCAACTTCAACGGCGTCTATGAGGTGTGAAGCCACATCGTTTGTTCTCCCCGCAAGATCAGCAGAGGCGGCTGCAGGGGTATCCCATCATCTATGATTACAAGTGAAGCGATTCCTAGGGAGCTAGCTCGCCGTAAACGGGAGGAGATTCGCGGGAATTCTTGCTTAGATGCAATGGCAAACACCCTCGTGGTGATCACTTGACAGTCGCTCCGTGTAAAAGCCGCTGACATCTGAACAGTGGCGTTTTGCGTGACTATAATAAGTTGATTGCGAGGCATTACAGTAGCGCTGTTCGGTATGGGATTGTGTTGAGCTGCATGTTTTAGTAGAAAATCCACGATGGTTCAGGTGCTAAATTAGTCTTTACTGCAGCTCTGCCAAGATTGCGGGGATTATCCAGTCCAGCGTAGGTATCTGTTATTGCTGCGCCAGTACGACTGTTCACCTGTGTTTGCTTTCTGGATTTGACTCGCGAGATCACATGGCAGTCAGGACTCCGACTCTCGCCTGTGAGATTTGGTAAAAAGTCTGGGAATAGTGGACGAGCTCAGGATCCATGGAAGCAATCGAACCTGTTGATAGGATTGAACTCCTGATATACACAAAGACGTTTCTGCGTCCGGAGTGATACTTCGAAAGAGGCATATGATCCGGATTACGGCGTCAGCCTCGGCCCGCTTGTGCTCAGGGCTCACTCCACACCCCGCCAAGCGCCAAGCGATCAATGTGTTTGTAATGATGTTGAAGAGTTCGGACATGGGAGTATGCAAACTCCACGTTAACTTGGCTATAATGTCCTGAGGTAGACGTAGAGCCATTTCTTCAGAAATGTTGTTGGTGTTGCCCTTTAAAAATACCGTCTATAGAAGGAACCGTTATAGTGTCCTGCTCGTTGGTTGGTAGTTATCTAATTGAGAGCATGTCAAACGCGCGACTGGGCTCAACACAATCAAAGGGTCCAAGGGTCTTCAGAGTTGAGACAAGCAAGGACGGTTTGCAGATCTCCCTCGTGGGTTACAGTACCTATGGTCGGTCGGTTGTTTGGTAGATACTTCTAGTCTCGGTCCTCATATTAAGAAGGCAAAGATCACCGTGAACTTGGCCCCATGTCTTTGGTTCGACCGTTACTGTGAGTGTGTCGAGTTGTAACCGAATACCTGGTATATTTCAAAACCGTGTTGCCGGTCACTAAGAATTCGTTGTTGAGAAGTTTTTCGGAAGCTGTTAGATGACTCAGCGGGCTCAGGCATCTAGTTCTATACTGTTGCCTCAGGCAGGAACGAATACCAGGCGCCAGCCCCACATTCGAATGTCACCGCCACCGTTGTGACCGTCCAACGATTGTCTGATCGCGTCAGGTCAAGAAACTCGATTGTCCCTCAACGCGTTAGAGAATCTGGCATTGACAATTCAGAGACGTCGCTTCGCCGTTGATACTGCTTTTTAAGTTACAGTCAATCCGACGAATCGCTGTTTCCCTCCAACTTTGTACGATACGCGACATCTCAAAGCGGACCGACGTTACACAAAACCCGTTCGTAATTGATATTGAGCGTAAATGGGATACGTTCAGCAGGTCGCAATCCAATTGATTGGTGCGCCTGAGTATCTTACCGACCTGGTGCGTTCTATACATGATTCGAATGTAATGTTACCTTCTAAAATCTGGCAAGTATTATGGGTCGCAGTATACAGTAAAGAAACCACACGATGCCCGGAGCATCTTGGCATTGATACTGGCAGGCTTCACAGGTAGTGTGCTTCTTGTCTGCCTTGCGCGTTTCCTTCAACCACTCCGACCACAATGGATGAGACAATTCGTCCAAGAAACCGTGCCAAAGGCTGAATTATCAAAGCACTCCCTTGAGAAGCCTGGATCGTACCCCTTCATCGCTTTGCTGGTACTTTGCCTCGCAGGGTTACTGGCACAGGTGTTGGAAGCTATCCTTCCAAGTGTCACGGTCTCTGACGCGTATCCCATAGTCGCATGGGTATGAATACAAGTCCTTCAGTACCGTCTACGATAATGACTGATGACTAGGCTGCTTGCTGTGTGATTCTCATCGTATATCGCCCACAGACCACCACCTTCGCGATACTGAGTATTTTGATCGTAATATGCCTTGTCAAAACACTAGCTTTGATCTATGTTCCAAAGCAGGAACGTTTCCAGAATCTACCTGACGTTGTTAGCTTAGTACTATCCGTCGTTGGTATCATTATCATATTGTGGATGCCACTTCGTGATCCTCGAGCACCGGCAGGAGAAATTGCACCTGTGTATGCAACACCTAATCCGAGCCTACGGAGTCCAGAAGACAAGCTGACGTTATGGGAGTACATGACTGTTGCATGGATGTCGCCTTTGATATCGATTGGCTACAAACGTCAGCTTAACGATGATGATGTCTGGGATCTCCCTTACGAATTCAAACATCGGAGGCTCTTCGACAACTTCTGCGAGTTGAAAGGCTCAGTCATCGGAAGGTTGCTCCGGGCTAACGGGTTGGATCTTTTGATCATCACTACCTTAGCTCTATTAGAGCTTGGTGCAAGTAGGTCGAATAGTCCGCCTTGTTTATTCTCCATTAATTGTGGATAGATCTTATGGCTCCGCTACTGCTGCAGCAACTTTTGAGGGCCATGGGAAAGGATGACGGCCCAGATACATCGAGTGCGATGACTTGGGCAATCCTCTCACTAGTCGTACGCTTAGCTGCTGCACAGTCGGGCGTGTTCAATCTATGGTACTCAAGACGCGCATATGAGCGCTCAAGGGGCGAGCTTATCACCATGCTGTTTGACAAAACACTGAAGCGTAAAGTCATTCATGCCCATGAGCCCTCGATCGTAGAAGACACGAATGCCAGAATCGAATCACCTGTGGCCAGCAATAATGAGGAGAATCAGTCCGCAAACTCGCCCAAATCAGGATTCTCGAAAGTCATCGCCATGGTGAGACATATCCTTGCCAAAAAGAAACCCCAAAAAGCCTCCCCTGTGATACCGCCAGCTTCCATGGGAAAGATCCTGAACTTGATGCGGTATGTGTCCGCTTTGTGCTTCATGTTTTTTGTCTGTAGTGACTAACAGTTTCTAGTAACGACGCTTATGAAATCGCTCAAAGGTTTGCCAATGGGTGTCGTCGAGGGAATAATATCGTAATCTAACAATACCACAGATTTTGGGAGTTCCCGGCACTAGTTACTCAACCTTTGAGTCTTATTCTCTCGATAGTTCTTCTGTGGAATATAATAGGGTGGCCTTGTATCGTAGGGACAGCTGTCGTCATCGTGGCACAGCTACTCAATGTCCTGGTTGCCAAGATACTCATATACTGGGAGAACAAACGTCGTACGGCTACAGACATAAAGTTACAGAAAGTCACGCAGTTCGTCGAGGCTATTCGTCATTTACGATGGTATGGCTGGCAGGACTCCTGGCTGAAGGAAATTCTTGTTGCAAGGCAACATGAACTCAACCTTCGAGTCATATCTGGGCTGTGGAACCTTCTCATCGGATTCCTGACTGAGGCTTCCGGTGCTCTATTCCCCGTTGTCGCATTTTGGGCATATACATCTCTTGCTCAGATGCCACTGCCTGTAGACATCGCATTTCCGGCTATTGACCTATTCCAGATAGTAATCTCGAATCTGCAGGCGCTACCCGGCCTCATTACCGTCTTGCTCAATGCAACTGTCGCTGTTAATCGTTTGGAGGCGTATATGCTTGAAGCAGAAAGAACAGAGCGAGATGCTCATGACGACAATGCTATGGACGTAGAGTTGGTGTCCGCCACCTTTTCCTGGCCGGGTAGTAAGAAGTCGGTCATTCGTGACGTCTCACTGAAGTTCCCTCGTGGTTTGACTGTCATATACGGCGAAGTTGCCAGTGGCAAGACTGCTTTACTCCAAGCCATTTTGGGGGAGCTAGATCAATCAGAAGGAGAACTGATACGCCCAAACAAGAACATAGGATATTGTGCCCAGACACCTTGGCTTCAAAGTATGAGTATCCGGGATAACATCCTCTTCACATATCCCTATAATGAAGAACGGTACAAGGAAGTACTGAATGCTTGCGCCCTCATATCAGATTTGAACACCTTCAAGCACGGAGATTTGTCCAACATAGGTGAGAATGGTATTGGTTTGTCAGGCGGACAAAAAGCGCGTGTGGCACTTGCAAGGGCTGTTTACAGTCCTGCTGAGATTATCTTGCTTGATGATCCTCTATCAGCTTTAGACCATCAGACGGCTGAACATATAGTACAAAAGTGTATTTCTGGGCGGCTACTGGAAGGTCGTACCACAGTTCTAGTCACACATCGTACACAACTTTGTCGAGGACTAGCCAAACAGTGGGTTGAAATCATTGATGGCAAGACCCGAGTGCTTGACCCTGTCACAACAGGACTACAATCAAGTATCCGCGGTGGGCCAATAACAGAGGACCTAGAGGCTGATGATCAAGCTTGTCAGCGGGAGGAAGAGACTGCAATTCCTGAAAAGTTTATCGAAGACGAACATCGTGCACATGGCGAGGTCCAGGCGAAGGTGTACTGGGAATACATCAAAGCTGGCAAGTACAGATGGTGGGCGCTGCTAATACTTATCATGATCATATATCGCATCGCAGATCTACTACAAACCTGGTTTATTAAGGAATGGGGCGAAGCATACAAAGCATCCTCGACTGCGCGCAAAGGTCTTTTCAACCAGCTCCCGTCTCCTCAGGTAGATGTTGATCCCTGGCTCAAGGTTTTCCTTCTACTCGCAATTGTTAGTGCTTTGTTGTCCACGATGGCACGCGGATTCACGATGGTAGTAGTATATGTGGCCGGAAAAAGCATGTTCAAAGAGGTGATGGCTAGCGTTAGTCACGCGACTTTCCGTTTTTATGATGTTACCCCTGTCGGACGCCTCATGAATAGGCTTACATCCGACATGAATACCGTTGATGGCCAGATTAGCATAATTTTGATCATGGCTGTCTTTACTGGAGTTACTTGGATGTCCTCCATCGCCGTAGTTGCCACTGCTACGCCTCTGTTCCTCATATTTGCAGTCATCCTGAGCTCTGCGTTTGTTGTAACATTCCTGAGATTCTTACCTACTTCACAGAGTCTACGAAGGCTCGAGGTGAGCTACGAACATCTAAAAGGAGGTTATCGGCTCTAATTCCTACAGATGGTCTCCCTTACGCCGTTGCTCTCCAACTTCGGAGCTCTGGCTGAAGGTCTAACAACAATCAGGGGTATTGCAAATGCTGTCCTATCAAGTACGCTGTTTGCTAACTCGGGTCAGCATTCTGCGCACAGCATCAATTCATTGAACGAGTCATCGTTGTCACCGATAAATTCCAGAAGATGGACCACTTCTATTGGAGTCTACAAGCATGGCTTGCCTATCGCTTTGATAGCCTGTCAGCTCTCTCGACTTTTATCCTTACATTGCTAGCTCTTTACTCAGGAGTCTCTCCGGGCCTCACTGCGTTTGTGTTGATCGCCGCAGCTAAATGTATGTGGCAATCAACAATTGCATAGAGAGTCAGCTCTAATAATACCTACAGTCGTCCAATCTACTCACTTGCTTTGTCGTATTTACGGAGCGATTCAGATGGACTTTGTATCGGTTGAACGAGTGGTCGAAATGCTCCATCTTGAGCAAGAACCCAAGGGGTCGATCGATCCGCCAGCCTGGTGGCCATCGTATGCTGGTGACATCGTCTGGGAAAAGGCAACAATTCGATATGCGCCGAACCTAGATCCAGCTTTACAAGAGGTGTCGGTGCGTATTCCTGCTGGGTCGAACACAGCAATTGTTGGCCGCACAGGTAAGCTGTATTTCTTATACTTGGACATGGACACTACTTACATCTGATAGGATCCGGTAAAAGCACTTTTGCCCTAGCTCTGCTAGCCACTATCACTCCCGAGGCCGGGCGTATACTCATCGACGGCATTAACATCGCTGAGGCAAACCATCAAACGCTAAGGTCACGTGTTGTAAGCCATTGTGCATCTATTTTTGAGGCAGTTCAGCTAAAGCTTGCAGACATTCCTCGCCCAAGATCCAGTTCTTTTTCCAGGAACCTTACGCGACAATCTCGACCCCTTATCCGAATACACCGACGAAGCTTGCGAAGAAGTGTTAAAAAAGATCGCCGAGCGTCATGGTTGGACTCTCAACACCTCAATCGAAGCAGGCGGCAAAAATTTGAGTCAGGGACAGCGACAGCTTGTCGGACTTGCAAGGGCAATGTTGCGGCAGAGCTCAATTATCATTCTCGATGAGGTATGTATTACGCAGTGTCAACGTTTTCAGGACTGATAGCGTCATAGGCTACAGCATCAATCGATCTAGACACTGCAAATGAAATACAGAGGGTATTGAGAGAGGAGATGAAACAAAGCACTGTGATCACCATTGCCCATAGACTAGAGGCGGTACAGCATGCAGATTATTGTATTGTATTGGAGAAGGGCAGGGTTCTACAGTCGGGGAAGGCGGAGGATATCATAAAGACGGAAATGTTTACCTGAAAAGGTTGATAAAGCTGGCGATAACGCCTGCAGATCTAAACAGACGAACGTCGGTCAAAGATCTTTCAATCGGCCGAGGAGCTTCATGCTGAGTCTTCATCCAGTCTTAGAAGTGTTAGATATGCTTGAGTTCTTTAACAAGTTCTTTCCCCAACCATCGTTACAATAAATTGGAGCACCCTCATAGGCAACATGTTGAATGTTGATGTTCCAATCACACCACACGGGGATCGAGATTCTTTCACCTCATACCTCCTCGGAACATATTCAGTGATAATTACAGGACCCCACGTTTCATTATACCACCCTCCTGTTCCTCACCCTCGCCCTAGATTCATCCACGATCGCATCTATTGTCCTTTATATCGGCACACATACATCACATTTACGAAACTCACGCCACAAATCATCATCACGTGGTTATATGAACGAGTCACACATCACGAAACGAGCGTCCATTATAATCAGACTCAGGAGGCATGTGCAGAAACAGTCGTCCAAAGAGGTATTTTTCTAGGAAGCTTGATTATACCAGGTAACTCTGAGTTTAGCTATACTTCTTAGTAAGATAATACTAGAACTAACCCTAGTAGAAACCAACTATATCTAGAGCCTTGGTTTCTAATATATGTTAGTATATACATGTAACTTTTATTTAATCTACTTATGTCTCTACACCTGATTCTATACAGGTAATCTAGCTAATTAAAGTTAAGATTATATAGTCCTGATAACCTTCCATAAGCTGAGGATTGAGCTTACTCTTCTTCTCTATTAACATTGAGTCTTGAATTGAAATTGCACGGAATTAATTTGCATACGCTCGCATGTTCATAGTATTCATAATCGATCGTCTAGGCAGTAAAATCACCGATGATTCTTCATGGAACACCATCTCCCAGTACGGTCTTATGTTAGCTAGCTGTACTAGTACCGCATCTTAAAAATAGAAGCCTCGACATGCTAGAGATGTAGTTACTGACGTTGTATTGCCCAGAAGCGGCGCTAGCGAGATAGGTATGTGCACATGAGACGATCGTCTTGGACCTATTATTTAGGCAAAGTTCTGTAGATTGGATTTATCGAGTGTTCCAGCTTTGTCTCGTATTGAGTTTAACATGTAGGTATCGTATTACACTGTGAATGTCACACGTAACAGTGTACCATGATGGAAGAAACCTCGTAATTATTTGTACACAGTCCACAATGTCAGCACGCTAGGTATGTGTCGTAGGGCATGAGATGAGGCAACCCAAACCATATCAGTGACTGACGAAATATGTGCCAATGGCTTATTCGGAAACGCGAATCTCTAAAGGACTTGGCCCGCTCCAGCAGTTACACTGTGTAATCAAATCAAACGCTATGCCTCCGATGCTATACTATAATCCCAATAACCCGAAGCAGCCTGCTAGTTTAATTCAAGACTACTGTGCTCGATAATAGTGTCTGCATCATCGTAATCCTTGTTGATGGATCCATGTATTATCTTCAAAAAGTTTCCACTGGCTCCTCCGGCTTCCATGTCGACAACGTCGCTGTCTGAGTGTTAGAATTCTTCATCATTTCGATCATGTAGGATAAGTCGTACAGAGCTACCTTTGTAGTGTTCTTAGCAATGGGCGGTGAGTCAGCCCGCTTCAATACTTTCTTTGCAGTCGCATTTCTGCCATAGAAAACGATCTGGATCCCTATATCACCCCTCTCGACATACTTTGCGTCTAGTCGTTCTTTAAATTGCGAGATCAAAGTTTCTATCTCTTCAGCTCGGCCACCTTCGCCATCTGTGAAGATGTACACCGTTAACGGTCTGTCATTTTTTGGACGACCAGACCGTACGAAAAGATACCTGAGGAATTTTCCAGGAGACAAGCTTGTCTCATCGTCGAGGAAATCATGTAACACTGCTGTGAGCTTTTTCGCCATGCCTGTATTACCCTCAAACGTAATTCTGTCAAGAATCCCTTTTGTCTTAGACACTTTCAAGTCCATCTTTTGTCGAGCCTCCGGATACGTGCATATTAACTCAAAGCTACCTCTGTTTGAAACATGTCGTAGCGTTGTATTCAGAACGTAAATGACTTTCTTGACTTTCACCTTGTATTGATCCATGCTCTTCGAGTTGTCGATGATGTATATCTTCTAACATTAGTCTGATAAAATCAGGAATAAAGGTCCGGACTTACATGGTTCCTTCCTCTTGTCTCTTTAGCACTCTTGATCAGCTTTTCATACCGCTTCGAGCGTTGTCTGGTCCAGATGTTCCAATACCCACCGGTGTGGGTACTCATTAACTCCCATTCAGCTTCCTCGACGTCCATGCGAGACACCTCTTGTTGAGTTGTCTGTCTGCGTCGAGTAGATCCAGTTGAAAATGAGACACCTAGCTCACCCACCTCATCCTTCACGATGTGCTCGGGTGCTAGAAAGTGTTGAGAAGCTTGAGGGGTAGATCTAGAAGAGCTTTGAGAATCTGGCGTGCTGCTGGTGACTCCACCATCTCTTGGAGGCCCATTGCATCCAGATAAGTTTGTGAAACCTTGTGAGGGCCCACATCGTTCGAAAGGTAACATCATAGGCGAAGTATCAGTATGTTGGTACTGCACCGGGCTTGTGCCTCCGGTACGGAAGCTGGAATCTCGTATGGTGTGCAAGGCACCACGGGCATCTGTTGGATATCACATTCTTGTGGATATATATTGGTGTCTCTTGGAGATACTACACCGTGGTTGGGTCTAGACTCCTCGAGATCAGTATTTAGTATCGGTGTTTGATGATCGGCGTACGTGTTCGGCGGAGTTATGCTGGACATGCCACCATAATCATGAATGACTCGAGTCGCAGAGAATGGTAGAGATCCTGCCTGCGGTCGTCCATGGGGAGCCTCCGTAAGCATCGGTATCACTAAAATCTCAATTACTCGCGCTGTTAATTGATCCTTGGAACTCCTGGGTCCATTTGACATCATCTTCTTGTGCATGTCAACGACACACTCGAGTGGCCGGATCCCATTGTGAAAGCAGTCGCCGTAATCAAGCAGGTTCGGAAATCGCTGGTTCTCCTTTATACGTTGCATCTGGTAGTCTTTGATTCCAGCAATACCGTTATGCATTACCCAGACCGCTGCTTCACTGAATATACAACCAAGTGACCATACATCAACGGCTTGCGTAACAAATTTGATGAGCCGTTCATCTGTTTCATCAAATCGACATGTTTCAGGGGCGCCTATCACGTAGGGGTCAGTGTACAGCTCGCATGGAGTACAAATGCTGCAACGTACAGTACGTTCGAGTTCCTCGCGTATCTATTCCCTTTACTTGTTCCAAGGGACCCTTCTCCTTAAACATGCTCAATCCAAAGTCTGCAAGTTTGAAATAACAGTTATAGTTCGTAGGTCCACTGACAACAAGTATGTTCTTGAGCGATATATCGTGGTGCCATCTGTGGCCGATCAGCGTCTCGAGAGGAATATATCATTCAATATCCAACGTACCCGACAAGCTGACCATTGGCTCCAGGATCAGTAAGCGATGCGACTGTGGAGATACCTTGTAGAATATAATCATACGAAGTCTGTTCAACCAGGTTCCGGGGAAATTCAAGATAGTTTAAAAGTGATAGTTCTAAACTAGCCATATTCGAGGGTCTGCACATTAGCAAGAGCAACAAACAAAACAGGCTGATGACCTCACCCGTCTAGTCTGACGTGGCAGCTAGCTATATATGTCTAGGTAGCATACGTAGGTGGTCTATGAATGATTGGAAGAGGATGAGATGCTATCTGCATCTCGGCTCCCTACGAGTGCTTGAGGTGGGAAATGAAGATTCCGGTAAGCCTACGAGCCCAGTTAAAAGTTTCTGCACCCACTGAAGGACTAGTAGCGTGCTTTCGTACAATAAGGCAGTCGGCCCATGCAGACTAGCAGACCTCTAGGCAACAGGCTGAGAAGGGTATGGGACGCTATTGGCTTGTTCTGCACTTGCCGGATCCTCAGGGTGCGATGTCGCAGCAATGCAATGTGCCCGTTTAGAAGTCGGCAGCCAAATTCGATATAGTCACTATAATATCTCCTCTACTAACACACTATAATAATATCAGATATAGTACGTAATAGAAAGTAAAGGCTACTACAGCGAATACCTCCTCCCACAGAACACTTTGTCGCCCTATATCCTCATGCAGTAATGTGGCATGCTCGAAAGCCCTAAATATCACATACCATACTGCGGCTGTACTTCAACTAGCCGATATTTCTCCAACTCTTGGTCTTTCTCCTCCTTAGCATGTCAGGAAAATCTCTACGACCATCCAAGAATTATTTTAACTCACCTGGGTAAGTTTGTACTGTCGAGGAATGATGAAATGATACATATCTTCTTTGCTCTATGTACTGCCTTGAGCTTCCAAGAATATCGACCTGAATGATGAACTAACCGTGATATAGAAGTTGAGACCTTCTCCAAACTTAGTCCTCAAATACTCGTTCAGTCTCGATATAGTCAAGCGGTAGATCGAGCACTCATCGCGGGTCCACTGAAGATGTTGGGATGGAAATTGCGCAATTTGACCTAGCTGGCAAGGATAATAGTAATTATAAGACATTTTGTCCTTCAAGAGCCTGGAAGAAGCAGGAACACAGCAGCGAGAAGAACTATCGAGAGGCTTCATCAGCGCAAAAGAGACGGCTGTCTTACCGACTTTTATATTCTCGAGATAACCGACGGTCACTTGGAGACTCTGGGGGTATCTCCCAACAAGGTTCGCGAGGAGCATATCTCCAGCCAGAACCTATGAACGCTCCAGATTCCTGATCTGCGCACCAATAATTTCATGCCAGGTGAACCTCGCGCCTTATCCACGATGTTCGAGGCTGGAACTCAAACAGCGTATTGGCCGTTCTTGGTGAGTCTGCTGTATTCTGCATCTTCATGCAGTAAGCATTGTGGACCAGCTCTCAAACAAGCTTAACTTCCTCGACAAGGATGCGTATATGCGGAGAAAGTCTTTCCTAAAAAGTATTTGTGTTGTAAACCTTTGTATCTCTTGAGTAGAGGTACATGCGATATCAAACCGACCAGTACTGCTAGCAGTCAGCCTCCAGCTGAGTAATTCTGAGCAAGACGTCACAAAGCTATGAAGCCTTTGGCCAGACTATTCGACGTTCTGATAAGAAGGTACCATAGATTCTGGATGATGCCGTTCAGCCTTTTCGTCGAACAATCTCGAGTTTGCAGGACAGATGGTCATGGGAGATCTCCATGGGAAAATTTACAGACGCCTCTGGTAGGCCAAAGAGTTGGTGGATGGCACACGTTGAACGTCCAGACCGCTTTTTGCGTGCTCACACTTTCGTTTGCCTGAATGTTCATAGCACCTTGAGCATGCCTTATTGGGCAGATTCGAATACCACTCAAAAGTTCTCCGCGACTATTAGCCAGAGTCTGAGAGGACAAAATTGAGGTAGTATGACTCGTCTTGATCTAAATGACGACTACAGTACTCCAGGAGTTCATCTTTCAAATCATAGAAGATAATCCATCACTGGAAGCTTGGAAACGACACAGCTGTCGCACCCTGATAAGGCTGAAAATCCCTCGGGATCTGGGCCAAAATGAATTTGGAAAATGTTCGTCGGCACGTGCCTACGTCAACGACAGCGACGCTGAGGAATGGAAGTTGAAGATACACGTCGAAGTAGGCATCAGAATAGGCGAACATCAGACTATGCTTACAAAAAGCATGCATAAAGCCACCGCGAGTGCAGCTGACATCTGGCAGGATCGCGGCCAAAGCAGTTTGTAACTGGAGGTAACACGTGTGTCGAACTACGTCTGGAAGCTCAGTTGAGCTCTAGTTTCTTCTTTCTCTGGTCATGTGTGGTCAAAGAGCGCGTTATCGCTGGGTTGTGTTTGAGCATGTAGCGGTGACAAACAGCTGCGTTCACTGATGGTTTTGATTTCTTGAGCCCATCGGGAAGCATGGCTCGTTGACAACGGGCGCCGTAAAATTAGGTAGATATGTGTGTCTGACAAATGATTTCACAAGAACATTGATATATGAGTAGACTATTGAGAGAAGTGCTAGCGCTCTGTGGAACGACGAAGTTGTACTGTAGTGGAGAAGATAGAGTTTTGAATAAGGATGCCTGACTGAACCCCGGGTAGGGTTCCCTGATCCGGAGCTAGTACCGGGGCACTTTGATTGGATGAGTCATGTACTCATATGTATATCGTTTTCCATTGCGCGGAAGACAGCAAGCTGCAGTGCAGAGCTATCAACTTTTCACTATTGTGAGGTCCAGAGCGCGTCTAGACGTAGCTATTGCCAATCGATACCAAGTATTTACCAATCCAAGTACTTAGTCGTGGCGTCATTCCTGATGTTCTCACGAACTTTCTTAGTCAGATCGCAGCTCAGCTCCCGTCAGCTCAAGGTCACCTCGTTGCACCTATGAACGGCAAATACGAATACCTTTTACCTGATTCGCTCAGTTCCTACCTTTTACTGTTCGAACAAAGACTGTGGTCTGGATTTTACGAACGCTAGAGTACCTGGTAGACAGACTTCGGCACATACAATCCGAATCCATGCAAGCTCAATCTGCTCGAATATTCTAATAGAGAATATAAGCTTAATCTACGCCTTATAAAAGATTACTAAGACGGTATAATCTTAATCCGATTAGTTAGATTACTTATATTAGATTAAATATATAGGGCGGATATTACTTTACCGATAGTATATAACGTAAGGCTCTATATATAGCTAAATTAGTTAATTTTAGCTAGGTTCTTATAGTAAGTTTCTTAAATATATCTAACTCTATAATATAAGGGAGACTATTTACTAAGTAACGTGTAACTTAAGGCTCTATATATATCTATATTTATTAAATATAGATAGGTTCTAGGGTTAAGGTTACTCGCTAATGTAAAAACTCTTTAAAATCTACTAGGCTTATACATTAATTCTAAAAAAAAAAACTTCTCATACCCTAACGGACCAAACTGGTCAACTCGGGGTAAAACAGCGATTTATATACATTAAATAATAGAGTATACTAAGTATAATAACCTCCGACACACGTGTATACGTATAGTGTATAATATATAACGATACTAACGTATAGAGATACTATATATATATACTTAAAGACTCTTTAATAATATAAGTATAGACTATATCTAATAAACGCCGATACGCCGACCCCCTTTTATTAGTTAAGGGCTACCCTTAACTAATAACCATGGCGGCCTTAGGTATTATAATACCCTAGCATACGCCGGATATACCCCTACTAGTATAGTAGAAACGGCTATATAGTAATATTAATATAGATAGCTAGACACCTATCTAAAATATAGGAACTAACTAAGGGTACGAAGCACTATAGATAACCTAGACTAAGGGGACCCCGAGAGGGGAGACCCTCCTAGATAAAATTAAATACTAGATAATATATATAGAGAGGGACGCCGAGGAGGGAAAGAAGACCCTCCTTTATATATTCCGGAACCTTATCCGGAATCTAAGAGGAATTACGGAGGAAGAAAGAAAGTTACTATAAGAGGAACCTAGTAGTAGGCTTAACTAAATAGAAGCTAGCCTACGGAGAATCTAGAAAGAGCTATCCTAAGGTAAGCGCCCTAATACGTAGGCTTAGATTATAGTAATACCCGGAGCCACTATACTAAGAACTACTAGGACTATAGATAGAGTATATAGTATACGTGTTATAATCTAGAATAAGAACACGCTAGCGTAGGTCTAATAGATATCTCTAAAGGAAATTATAAATAAGATTAACGAATAGAAAGGAATATAGTCGAGTGTTATAGCTACTAAAGTTACGCTAGGTAGGGTAGTACTTACTACTATAATGAATACTACGTAGTAAAACATCTCGCGAGATCTAAACGTAATAGATAGTATCTTCCCCGGCGCGTCTATTAGAGTAGCTATATACCCGATTATAGTACACGTAGTACCTATACGGGGATAGGCTATCGGAGCGGAGGATATTACGCGTATAGAATAATCTAATACGCAAAAATACCCAGGGATTAAGATTATAAAAGCGTAGTAGAAGAACCTATAGACGATTAAGACGACGGCGAAAAAACACTCTACTATAATTATAGAGCTCCGAGACCCCGCCCTCGTATAATATATTATATAGGAGGGATTTCTAATAGAAGGAGAGCTCCTTATAGCCGAGCCATAGAATAGAGTATAGGTAATAATATAGTACTTTAACTATTAAGGGTATAGATATACTATATAAAGGTACTTATAGAAGACTAAGTACGGATAGTACCGTAGGGACCACGCTATCTAGGAGTGCCCTTATAAACCACGAGGAGATAGACTAAGAAATAGGGATATAGTATAGTGTTTAAACTATAATAGGAAATACCTATCATGGTTATTAACATATATAAAACGTAAATAGGTTATAGAATATATTCATATAATTAAAATCGAGAGGCGCGAGATAGTTATAGAATATAATACCTACTATAAGCCCTTCCTTTATAATACCCCTAACCTCCCCTCTAGAAGATAGTTAGATAGAATAGTAGACTATTCTAAAGACGATAGGACGACTAAAAGGTATAGTTAAAGCCGCTACCGC